AGTAGATCGAGGGCGTGACGGTTCGCTATTTTGAGAAGAGGATGCATCCTAATAACAGGTTTCCTGGAAGCTGGGTCCTGCCTAAGAATACAACTTGGAAGTCGCTCGGAAGTGGACCCAACTCTTACGCAGCACTCGTGCCGGCATCCTCCCTAAACCCGTGAGGCAAGCACTCCCTATCCTTGTCCGGTGACATCCCTTACCAGATAGCATTTGGGTGTGGTCGGCGTGGATCATTTTGAGAGAACAGGATTTGGATGGAATGTAACGCGACACAGCCGTCGAATAGGACTCAGCGGGACAGACGGATATTCTCCGCCAAGACTAAGACAAGTCGGAGGCATTGTACATACGTACATGTCAACGTCAAATGGTCATTTCGTGAGTTTCTGAGCCCTCACATTCAGAGACCCAAAGCGTCGTAGTTGCCCGTCACCGGAATCAGCCTTGTGACGGGCTTGGCCGGCCTCCTTTTCTCCAGCCCTGTCTCCCTCTTCGGTAGCCTGACCGGCGGCTTGCTCTCTTGCCTGTTCTTGCTTTCGCGTTCCCCAGTCCGTGCCCGGTCTTTTTCCCTACGGAGCGTCTCTGTCTTCTCCAGTCCGGTCTTTATCACGCGCTTTCTGCTGTGTGATTCTCGGGTTTCCCGGTGTTGACGGCTGTTGCTGGACCGCCCCTCCTCCTCCTTCCGACACTTTCTCACCTCTCGCCGGTCCAAAACCCATGGCTTGGACAGCACGTCCGTCTTGAGTTGCGTGACCTTTTCCCAGAAAATCACTTCCTGCTCTGTCGTGCGGAGGTGGACGACCTTTTCTGCGCGGATCTGCTTGTTCTTGCGGTACGTGCCGACGCTGCCTTTGATATCCAGCACGTGTCCTACGTCAATGGGTGCGTCGACTACCGGAAGAGAGTTCGAGGTCTTGTCGGATTTGGAGTCGGGTTCCGCTGCCGTCGCCGCAGTGGCCGTTCCGGGCCTTGCGCGAGGCGCGACATTGACGATACATTCGAGAGTCTCCCCGCTGCCGTCATCAATCGTGTAGAAATGCATTTTCTCGCGCTCCTCGACGGCGACTACCACACCGGAGATGCGCACCCATTTGATTGGGTGGTTGAGGTGGAAGTAGACATCCTGGCCTTGGTAAGGAGTTAGCACTGTGGTGTCTTGGGGTTTAACCACGGGTTTTGAGTTTCAAGTCTCGAGTCGCTTGGCGTACCTCGAAATCCCGGATGACTTCTCAAAGCCCAGATATCGGTGATCCAGAAATGGCACCAACGGTTGATGGTCGGTGACAGGTGGAAACAGTATTGCGGGTAGAGCTCTGGCTTCGTCGAGTCGGTCATGGCATCCTTCGAATCGGGTGACACAGCGTGCAGCCGTTAGCGGTGATCAGTCGCGCTCTAACCATGTAGGTCATGGTTGTAGAAGGGTTTGCACGCGCAACCGCCTTGCACACGACATCACCACTCCGTGATTGGAGTTGCGATGGAAAGTGTGTTGGGTGAATTTCTTGCCTGGAGTCCTTCCCATTGCAAGGCACCAATCAGTGCCAAGAGTGAGCTCCCTCGTGCAGTTGGCCAGGTGATGCCTGTTAATGGCCCGATTAGGGAGGAGCAGGAACGGCGGGGTCATACGAAGTACAACAAAACGGAGTTGGCACCTATTTTGTCAGGAAATCCTCATGTTGTGCTTTCTTCTGTCGGAGCGTGAGTGTTTGATGTTTCCAAACCGGCCTAGTCATATGCCGCAGATCTACAGCAATTTGTCCAAAGCCGGCCCGAATCTCTGTCGTGTGAGCCAAGATCTGAAACTTTTACTGGGATGAGACGGAAGGAGGTTGCTGGGAACCAGCAATGAGATAGAATTGACCAGCAAAAGTTAAACTAACATCCGGGCCCATTGCCATCTCTGAGCCGTAATACGCCATACCAATTCTCGATGCCTTGACCCAAGCCCAAACTGCCAAATCTCCATGATCAAAGCCAAACCTATACTCCAGATACCGTCTTTAAACATGTTCATTTTCGCGCCTTCTTCTTCTTCATGCCCGCCTGTATCGCTTGGAATTGTTCCTCCGAGATATCCGGCTCTTCAAGCTCCTTCGCGCCTCTTTTCTTCCCCTTGCCCGCCTTGGGCACAGCCCCATATTTCTCCGCCAGCTTATCCAGCGCACTCATTCTTGACGACTGGTTGCGCTGGATCAGGGCCGCCAGCCCCGCCTCCGAGTCCTTCTTGCTCTTCTTCTTCCCATCGCCCCGTAGCTTGTCGTACACGCCCAGCTCCTTGGCCAGCTCGTCCGCCTCCCGCGCCTCGCTCTTAGCGGCCTTGACGCGCGCCTGCCTGGACTTCTTGGTCTCCTTGGCGTAGACATCAAAACGCAGCACCTCCTTGGCCTTGATCGCGGCGTCAATGACCTCCCGGAACCGGGCGTCGTCCTCCAGCACGTTGCTGAGCATCACGCTCTCGTAGACGCCGTCCATGTCGCCCTCAAACTCCTCGTACGCGGCCAGGATGTCATCCCGCTCTTCCGCCGGACCCCTTGTACTCGTTCGGCGGAACTTCTTAATCGCGTCCTCGGAGATGGGCATCCGCGGAATTGCTCGCCGGTAGAAGTCGCTCCAGCTGAAGCCCTCGGAATCGACCACCGCTTCCGAGGTCGAGCCCGTCTCGTCGTAGCGCTTGCGCCGGGCGGGGTCGGAGAGCACGGCGTAGGCAAACGCGACTTGTTGGAACTTTTCTTTGGCTTCGTTTTTCTTGTCTTCGGGCGCCTTGTCTGGGTGGGTTTTTAGTGCCGTCTTGCGGTAGGCCGATTTGACCTCGTCGGGCGAGGCGGTGCGGTCGACCCCGAGGACCTCGTAGGGGTCGATTGTCGGTGGCTCGCTGTCGGTGAGGTCGTCTTCGTGGGTAGACATTGTGATTGTTGTTGTTTGTCGAGGTTGGAATGGGTCAACTCGGTGGGAAAGTTTAATGGATTTGGGGCGCGTCGCGTCGCGCCGAGGACCGTGCAGGCGGGGGACACGATACAGTGTCAGCGCTGAGTGAGCCCTTTGCACACTGTATTACAGGGGTTCTTCCCCAACACCGCCTGCAGGTCGCTTTGCGGGTGGCCCCTCCAAGAATCTCGCACCAATTCTTCAACGTGCGATAAACGATATGACTACCATCCCACCTGGCGATCACAAGGCATATATGCGGCTTGCGCTCGAGCAAGCGCAAAAGTCCCCACCCAAACCGACCAACTACCGTGTGGGAGCCGTCCTGGTAGACTCGGCTACAAACGAGATCCTTGTGACGGGCTACACCCTCGAGCTGTCAGGCAACACTCACGCAGAGCAGACCTGCTTCGTGAAGCTAGCCGAAAAACACGGAGTCTCTGAAGAGGATCTCAAATCGGTGTTACCGGGCGATTTGGCGCTTTACACTACCGTTGAGCCTTGTTCAAAACGGTTGAGCGGGAATCTCCCATGCGTTGAGAGGGTGCTCAGGCTCGCTGGCTCGATTAGAACCGTTTATGTTGGGATCATGGAGCCAGAGACGTTTGTGGCGGAGAACACTGGGAAGAAGAGTCTCGAGGATGCTGGGATAGCTGTTGTCCATGTGGAAGGGTTTGAGAAGGAGATCCTCGACGTTGCGACCGCCGGCCACGTCAAGGGCTGACCGCAATGTGAGCCAACGAAGGTTGTTACCGAGTTTATCGGTTGCGAGGTCAGTGAGTATGCATTGATGAACGTTGACAATTTTCATGCGTTCGCATGTTTCTTGTTTTACGATACGAGGTATCTAGCCAACAGGTTGATCGGCACAACACACCTTTTTCTCACCTGTTTCATGCTCACTGAACGGTGAGAAGGAATGGGACCCATGCTTGCTCGAGAAGGTCAATACTCTGTCCGAAAAGGGCCCCTTGATAGAAGAGGCGGATTCTGCTAGACAAGATCAAATGCGAGCTATGTTTCTTAAGAGTTGACGGGTCGCTGAATCTCAGTTGTCTTGGTCGCCACGGCATGTATAGACCTACATAGAGACCTATGAGCCAGCCGCCTCCGTAGTATGTCCTCTCCCAAACATTATGATCTGTGCTTGAGCAAAGGGAGACGATGTGCGGAATCGGCCATTGAACAGTGCTGTGGTGGGCCACGACGCATGATGCCACTGGGAAAGGAAATCGCTCCATCCCCAACAACGACAAAATGTAAATTTCAGGGGTAAAAACACCTATTACCCCTGAGCACCAAAAAAATATCGTCAACACCACGAAATCAAAAGTAATGGTTGTATTCTAGCAGCGACTCGTTTCGATCGAGTGACCTCCGGGTTATGAGCCCGGCGCGCTTCCACTGCGCCACGCAGCTGTTGTTGGTTGTGGATACAGGATCCGGAGTGGAACTGACGAGGTTGGTACCGTCGACAGTGCCACGGAAGAGCCATGGGCAGGCTGGAAGTGTAAGCATAAGCATTTGCAACCTTGCTAGCGACTTTTAAAAGGAGATCTTCAAGGACCCAGTAGGTGCCTCCCAGAGAGAAGCACGCAGGGTGTGCGCTGAGAGAGTGACTCCATTAGAGGGACCAGCTTTTCGACTGAGCCGTACTAGGCTCTCCGACACAATGATACAAATGTTGAGTGAATAGAGATGGAGACATGCACGTCACTTCATAGCCAGCAGGTCAGTCTGTTAAAGTGAGAAACTGTAATCTTTTATTTTTACAATTAGTTACATCAGCGTTGTTATTTTATTATTTTCAATTTTATTTACTGACCTCTTCATTTTTGTTGCACTTTCGAAAACGGAGGGTTATAAAACGCCATGAGTGCAACTGGTAGTTAAGTTAGTGAGTGTCGGAAAAAGGATACTCGACCCTGACATACCCGCATACATATCATGAATCTCCTAAACACACACTGCCGCAGCATCCTGGGGTATCGTCTCCGGGTTTGGCTTGGGAGTCCTAGCAGAACGCACCGGCAGCGTCTCACGCTTCTCTTAGTATGGGCTGTATCCCCCTCAGGACCAGGAGAATAGCCCAAGTTTTAACTCCGATGGGACTTGTTTATACCAGGCACGGAAAGCTCTGGTGCTTCACACCTAATAGTTAAACTAAGAATGATCTCGACTGCTGAGATGCCATCCTACAATCGAGCCTACCTGCATATTCTCCTCGGCCATAAAATGGCCCTCCGCAAGATACTGGATCTCCCCATCCCCCATCAACGATTACGACCCAAGACCCCATCAATCCCCCGGTGCCCGACAGCAGAGTACCCCGGCACGAACATCTCACCAAACGGCTGCATAAAGGTGTCTGTTATCCATCAGTCAAGTCAGCTCAACCCAACCGCATTTCCAAAAAACCACAACATACCGTACGTCGACAGCGGCTTATACCGACAATTCCACGTAATCCCCTCCAGCACCCTCTGCGTCTGATTCTCCAGCCTCGGAAACGCTTCCAGCACCGCCGCATGCTCCTCCCCCGTGATCCCCAACCTCGGCTCCCCAAAATCCAACTCATTCCCCCAATAAATCGCCACCACATCCAGCTCCTTATGCAGCGCAAACCTCGGCTCCGCATGCAGCGCGATCCCATCCCACACCCTCTGCACCCTCTCCTCCCCCCACCTTGCCCCATCCTCATGCGCCCTTATGAACCCCCTCGCCGCGTACGCGCCATCGACCTCAAAGCGCCGATCCGCCGAGAAAAAGGGGCTCGCCACGCTGTGATTGGCGCCCAGGTCGTGCAGCAGCAGACCCAGCGCGTGCACCTCCTCGTCGACGGCCGCCGCGAGCGTGGCGTTGTGGGAGAGGTGCAGCACGCCGAACAGCCAGGCGCGCATCACGTGGTGGTAGAGGTAGGCGTCGGAGTGGGCGCGCGCGAAGGCTTGCGCGGCGCGCACGATGGGCGTGTCGATGACCGAGACGTTGGCGAGGAGGCGGCGGGGGGTAGGCGGGCGGTGGGGGGGTGTTGTTGATGCTAATGCTACTGTTGGGGGGAGGAGGGTTGCTGTGAGGGTGAGGAGGAGGGGTAGAGGGGAAATCATGGTTGTTGTTATTGGGCTATAGGGTAGTTAGAAAATGTGTTTCGGTGTTGCTTGAAAACTACGCTTGAGATGGGATCATGTTTGGAGGGTGTCTTTATCATTCTCAAGTATCTGCTTTAGTTCGCAACCATCAGTTTCGTGTCCGATGCCTCTCGGCTTTCTAGAATTACATCGCAAGAACCACGGAACCCGTGATGATCGGTAGAGAATATGAGCAAGTTTTGATTAGAATGTTCTCTCATGTCTTATGGTGGTGAGATGCGGGGAACGGCGTCGTGCTCCAAGTCTTCAGCAAATGAGCACATTGCGTACATATTTGGTGCTGTTCTAACCAGCTCGTAATCTGCTCACTTTGTCTCCCATACCATACGACGGGGCTAGAGTTATAGTCCAAGGCTGTGTAGTAGATGTCGTAACCTCCGAAGGCCTTCGGAACTTACATAGGATAGCGGCCATCAACCCCTAGATAGCTATGTATACCTTCAATGTTTAGTCATAGTAAGCCTGATAGTTATGCTAGTCCGTCTTGGAAATGGTCAAATGCACGGTTGCTTCTAATGATGCGAGATTGTGGTATCATATGCCAGAGCAGCAACAATATCGGTTGATATGGAAGTAGCAAAGTCATGGGTTCTAATGGTATCAGTTCGCCAACTTGGCGGCCACTAAGTGAACAACCCCTGAATCTTGTCGCGGACGTTGAAGCTTGGTGCATCACTCTCCAATATCAACATCAGCGAAATTCCAGAAACCTTCACAATATCTAAGCCATCCTCATTGTGTTCTACATGTATATTCATTTGATATGCTCTTTGGCATTATATCTACCAGTCTTGATACAGGGTCACAACCCACCGCCAACCACCAACCCCTTTAAAACAAACCCCTACCTATATCTTCTCCCCCTCCAATATCGGCCTAGCCTCCTCGCTCCTCCACCAACTGCCCTCCGCGCCCGGGTACTCAAACCGGTCCATGCTCTCCGGCCTCATCTCCACACTGTACCCCGGCTCCGTAGGCGTCTGATAGAACCCATCCTTGATCACGGACGGGTGGCGGAAGTGCTCGTGCAGATGATCGACATACTCGAGCACAGACAGCTTCCCGCTAACAACGACATAGTCGATGGTGCTGAGGTGCTGTGTGTACTCGGGCAGGCCGACGCCGCCGGAGTGGGGCACGATGGGGACGCCGTACTTCTTGGCCATGAGCAGGACGGCCAGGACCTCGTTGACGCCGCCCATGCGGCAGGCGTCGATCTGGCAGACGTCGATGGCGCCGGCCATGAGCAGCTGCTTGAAGACGACGCGGTTCTGGCACATCTCGCCGGTGGCGACGCCGATGCCGTAGGGGCGCAGGGCGTCGCGCACGGCCTTGTGGCCGAGGATGTCGTCGGGCGAGGTGGGCTCCTCGATGAACCACGGCTTGAACTCGGCCAGCTGCTTCATGTACGCGACGGCCTCGGGCACGGACCAGACCTGGTTGGCGTCGACCATGAGCACGTTGCCGTTGTCGTAGCCGATGATGTCGCGGGCGATGGTCAGGCGGCGGCGGTCCGTCTCGACGCTGCCGCCGACCTTGAGCTTGAAGTGGCGGTAGCCCTTGTCGAGGGTCTCGCGCAGCAGGGCGCGCATCTTGTCCTCGCCGTAGCCGAGCCAGCCGGCGCTAGTGGTGTAGGCGGGCACGGCGCGGCTTTGCTCGGCGTCGCGCAGCCGGTCGGCCTTGCCGGCCTCGGACTCCTGCAGTAGGGCGAGGGCCTCCTCCGGGGTAACGGCGTCGGTGATGTAGCGGAAGTCGATGCAGTCGACGAACTGTTGGGGTGTCATCTCGGCCACGACCCGCCACACGGGCTTGTTGAGCGTCTTGGCCCAGAGGTCCCAGATGGCGTTGACGACGGCGCCCAGGGCCAGGTGGATCACGCCCTTTTCCGGGCCGATCCAGCGGAGCTGGCTGTCGTTGACGAGGTGGCGCCATGTGTTGCCCCAGTGGGCGACCAGGCTGGAGAGGGTGCGCCCTTTGACGCGCTCGGCCACATGGTTGATGGCGGCGCAGACTATGTCGTTGCCGCGGCCGATGGTGAAGGTCTGGGCATGTTAGATTTTGGAGCGTGGGGGGTTAGGGGGGTAGGGGGGGAACACCGTACCATGCCATGGCCAGTGTAGGAGGAGTCCGTCTCTAAGATGCAGTATGCGGCCGAGTAGTCGCCGGCGGCGTTCATGGCATCCGAGCCGGTCTTGTCGAGCGAGGTAGGGAACCGAACATCCCGTGTCGTCCACCCAGTGATGGTGATTTCAGCCATGGCTGCTGTGTGTATGATGTCTCAAAACGGGACGGAGGAGCACGGATGAAGACGGGAAGGACGGAGGGGAGTGATGCGTGTGCTTGAAGGGGGTGATCGATATGCGCCAAGCCCCTGACTTATCTAAGTAATTCCTTGCCTCTCAGTGAACTTGTTAAGCTCAAGTAGCATCATGATAGTTGAGGGCACTACATGGCCATTCATTCCCGAGGTGAAGGCGGCGTGGGCCCCGAGACCGGGTGAGGGGTTTGTTTGGTGGGGTTAAGTCCGTCGCTCAAGAGGAGAGACGCTGCTGCTTGGCTTGTGATTGATGGATAAATCACGAATCGTACCCCCACCATGCCACTTTCTCACCACACGACGGCACTGATGCATGCTCTAAGTTCCGGTCAGGGGTTACCATATGGTTCCTCGCTGTCGGGTTAATGGCAGTCGAGGAATGTAGTGTATGTGAATGAAGGTTAGTTAATTCTTTTTTCCCCTCTTTGTTTTTTTCTTTTTCTTTTCTTTCTCTTTGGAGAAGATCGATAATTAGACAATGATGTTGGAGGGTTTGGATCCGCTTAACGACAATCTCGAGGAGCTGCCTCGTGGAGAAGAGAAGGAAAAGAAGCTCGGGCATTGATTGACATGGAAAATGGAAACATTCTCCCGCAGTGGAGACGCCTAAAGAAGGCGGGGGAGGGTCTGGGGAAGCACGGAAGCCGTGTTTAAGTTCCAGATTAGGTACTTCGTGCCTTCCCCGGATATCTCTCCCAACCTTCAATTTCTTAGACTGTCTCTGTTTCTTCGATCCGGGGCATGATCCAGACCTTGATAATATCGCGAAGTTGACGAGTATAGTGGTCAATTCGTAGAGCTGACGCTAGGGTTTATTAGATTTCGTCTTCATCGCCACCGTTACCTAATATTTCCGTCTATTAGTGGGCGCGTTGCAACTGAGACGGCGGCAGCTGGTACCTACCTAGGTAGTGAGGTTGTCCGACATCGTCGATGACCTCGATCTACAGATCGGCTGTCAGGGGTCTCGACTCTCGATATCAGAACCCGGAGGAGTCATCTGAGACAACGCACGTCCGTTCAATATCGAAATCCCAGACGGATCTCGAAGATGGCCAGCCAACTTGCTGGCCGGCACCAGGCTCAACCGAAAGTGGCGTTGAAATTGAGAGCTTGGACATTGAGCATGACTCGATCTGATCTTGAACGTGTCTCTATTTCAACGCTATCGGTTTCCCCGCACCGTTCATGATTCATGATTCCAGGCGGGCAGGGTTCAAGGCAGTGCACTACCATAGCGCTGCAAGTTCAAGCTGAGCTGGTTGAGGAAAGTCATGGCCTTTAGTTTCAACTACGTATGTCGCCCCGCCGGACGCCATCTCCATCAAAACGAGCCATCATCCGTGGCTATATATAAGAGAGACCGGAACGGTTCCCTTTCGTCACAAACGCTTGCCAATAATTAACCAAATTCACTTACCTCCTACTATCCTAATCGCCTACATAGGGACATTGTAGCACACAATGGAAGGATGGAAAGACGTGACCACAGTCACCCCCCAAAGGGTCCCAAGCAGGCGCAACAAGCTCCAGAAATGTGTCTCAAGACAGGCAAGCAACAGCCGTCGACCGGAAAGCCCGAGAATAGTGAATACAACCATCACATATCTGCCCCTCGAGAAAGTAAACGACCCGGGATTTCTAACACAACCTCGCCTGGCGCCGCCGCCGCCGCCGCGGCCCACTGAGAGTGAAACGAAGCGCCGCAAGACATCATCGGCCGGCGTCCTGGAGGCGATCCAGCCGTTCTCCAACACCCTTAGCAGGACGTCAAGCGTGGATCTCATCGCAGGGCAGTACCATGACTTGCTCGAGTTCCGAGACTCGTCCGAGTACCCGTACACTCCCTTGCCCCCATCCCGAGACTCATCTGAGGGCACCCTCGACGACTTGGACGAATGGATCATGCTCCCACAGCGACGCAATGGGGATCACAACTAGAACGAAACCCCCACTGGCGGTGACTCGGAATGCACGGTCGAACTGCCCGACCCCTCGCCCAACTCAGAGGCCCGGGGCACGCCCCCCTCGCGCCGGGACGAGAAGGTCTACTTTAAGCCAGTCTCCTACTCGCCACAGACGGAACAGGGACAAGTACAGGAACGGGAACTGGGACCGTCGAGCATCCCGATCCGCCTAAAGACGAGCCCCGACAACCACACGCCCAACCACACAGCCTTGCAAACCAGCCTGAGGTTGCTCACAGACGATTTGTCGTCGGCCATGGCGCGCCGGCCCGGCGACTCGGCCAAGTGGATGTCGCTGACGCAGATCCGGTTCATGATCCAGGCATATGAGCGGCTGCGGGACCAAATCTCGGAGGGGAACCAATGTGATCCGTCGCAGGCCACGGCGTTGCAGGACATGTTTGACATGTGGCTGCGGGCGCTGTACAGGATTCATTGGGATATACAAAAAGAGGCAAGGGCTCAATTTCACAATACCGTGTGAGTCCTAGTGGGCTGGGGATTGAATCACGATACCACAATTTAGGGCTGGATGGAAGGGGCTGTGGTTTTGCCAGCCACGAACTATTGAGTAGAAGCATAGGAAGCTTTGGAACCTAGCTTTGGCGTCAAAGTTGGGAACCCGTGTTTTCCTCACACCTGTCCCCATAGGTATCTTGAGAAATTCTCACTTTGTACAGACTTCCTACAACGCTAATATGCGTCGTATTTGAATAAAAAATTAAACCAATCCAGCCCTGAACCCGTGAGCCCAAATGTATTCGTGGTTGGGAAGGACCACAGCAGGTCGGGAGGCTTCGATAATGCTGCCCCCCCAAGCCCCGCAATGAGGTCAGATTCGGGGAAGGGAGATCTCCTCGCTCGGCAGTCGAGGTTTCCGTGGGCTTGGCAGTCGCGTACAAGTAGCATCCTTGCTTTGGCCCTGTGCACCACTCACCATCACCTTGAGTCAACTATCGGACACTTGCCAACAAGAGGCACCTTATGCATCCATCCTAACAGTCAGTGGCGATAGAATAACGAAACCAAAATGGACGATGACGAATACGGCGACGCCGACGACATTCTCGTCGCCCTGGCGGCGCAATCGGAACCGTCGAAACCAGCTCAATCACCCGCTGCGCCGAGAATTCAACAACCCACACCCCAGCGCCTCGACCGAGCACCACCTTCAAATCCCGCCTCCAGCTCTGCGACGCCCAAGGTTGTGCAGCCTACCCCGCAGGCTCTGCCCGCTCGTGGTTCGGGGTCCTCCATCCTCGTCTCGCCGAGGCAAAAGGGCAACCCAGTGCTCGCCTGCCTAAAGTCGGTTGCTTGGGAATACAGCGACATACTCGCCGACTACGGGCTCGGCCAGACAACCTGCGCCCTCTATCTAAGGTCTGCCCCCTTTCGTAACCCTCCCCCCCCCCTTCCCAAACCACTCGACTCCCAACCAATCTAACACACCTCTACCACCCCCAGGCCTCAATACCACCGCCTCCACCCCGAATACATCTACACGCGCGTCCGCAACCTCCAAGGAAAATACAAGCTCCGCATCGTGCTCACCATGGTCGACATCCCCAACCACGAGGACGCCCTGCGCGAGCTTTCCAAAACCTCCCTGGTCCACAACGTCACCATCATCCTCGCCTGGTCCGCCGCCGAAGCCGCCCGCTACCTGGAGCTCTACAAGTCCTATGAGCACGCGGGCTTCGGCGCCATCCGCGGCCAGCAGGCCTCGAGCTACGCCGAGCGCCTCGTCGACTTCGTCACCGCCCCGCGCAACATCAACAAGACCGACGCCGTCGCGCTGGTCAGCTCGTTTGGGAGTCTGCGGAATGCGGTGAATGCGCAGCCCGACCAGCTGGGGGTCGTGGGTGGGTGGGGCGAGAAGAAGGTCCGCGCGTGGACTAAGGCGGTCGAGGAGCCGTTTAGGGTGAAGAAGGCGGGGAGGCGGGCTGGAACCACCGGGAAGGCCTCGCAGAGTGTGAGTGTGTCGGTGAGTTCGAAGGAGCAGGGTGAGGATACAGAGGCGGAGGCGGCCATTGCGGAGGCGGAAGGGGGAGCAGAAGTTGCCACTGATAGTGGGCGGCGGCTTCAACCCGTGCCCGTGCGGCCCGCATCAGCCACGTCGGCTACATCGGCGGTGCCGGCGCGCAAGGCCGATCAACTGAGCGACGGTGTCGCCGCCGCGCTGGCAAAACTCAGAGAGAAGGGCTAACCAAGCCACAACCACTCCGGTGGGAAGCTCAGCCACGACTTTTGCTGCACGACACAAACGCCATGCGCCTAGCGGTGGAACGGTCGAACCGGTAACAAGACCGCCCGTACCCGCTCCGCACACCTCGAAACTCTCGACGCGCTACTACACTTATTCATCTCCTCCGAGCAATTGCACCTACCGGAGCTTTGCCGGCGAGGCGATCGAGCTCCTCAACGTTGAACGGGTCATACCCGAGCTGGTGCTCTTGTCGTTTGCGGCTGTGGACGACTGAAAGACATTGTCAGACCGGAATATCATGCTAGTTTTGGCATGTGGCATCATAATCAGGCTGGGGGTGGCTGCCACTTGCTTGTTCTGACGGGCAGGGACGTCATTTTCAGCACAAGATGAATACTGCTCTCAAGACCAAGTTGGTTGGGATGGTGGTGCCGTGATAGCGCCTCGCTTGCACACATGCACTCCCGGGACCTCGAAATGCGTGTGCAACATGAACGGGCGATCATCTGCAAGGGCAAGCTCGTGTCAGTAGCTGGCCACGCATGAAGTAACGTTTCGCAACATTTGTGAACATGTGCCATGCGGAAGGCGCAGAACTCGCCTCGTGTTGCACTATTCCACGATTCTACGTCGGTTTGCGTTACCAGCACGATGTATAGGCGGAGAAGCGCACAACGGAAGGTGGAAGGTGGTAACTAACGCAGACAGGGGAGGGGGCTTCGGGCTGTCTACCTGAACTTTCAACTTCATCGATGAGCTCATGGTATCGCCAAGCTGGCAACCGGCACTTGCAAAAGCCAAGCAACGGTATTGACGGGAGAGGCGCGCGGGGGAGCTGGGCCGGGGTAACGGTCGGAGGAAGCATGCATTTTGAGTCCTTGTGACCCCCGTTATGCACACGCATCATGCGGGGGTAGGAAACACAGTAGCAACTGCTAGGGGGGGTCCTCCTGAGGGGTTCGCAGTCTGTCCGACCTTCCTGTTCCAAGAAACTTAAACTTTCTGGTGCGCCCATGGCTTCGGGTCACAAAACAAGCGACTCGCCGGCTATAAAAAGGTGTATGTTGTCCTACCTTCCTTGCCGCCTCCAGTATGGGGTTTCTTGAAACTATAATCCGGACTTTTGCGGAGTCGAAGGCATGAGCAAGACCATTTAACACCCGCGACACAGCTTGGATGATATCTCCGAGCCACAGTGACCTAACCCGGTCTTCGGGCCGTTTTTAGGCTTCCCCGGTTCTGGAGGGCCAACTTTGGTAAGGTGGTATTGAGATCTACGATGCTGGAGGCAATCAATCCCACATAAGGTTACTTTCTTTTGACTTGATGAATCCTGGAGGAGGGACCAAAGGCAAACCTCACAGTGTACCGCCCTATGCCCCGACCCAGCCGCCCAAACATCAGAAGATGGCAAGACGATGGCACTGTAGCTGTCCTTCTCTGGTTCATGCTGGTCTGCTGGCTTTATTCGCACATCCATACATGTTCCCTCTCCCAAATCACCAACAGCATCCGAGCGCCTGCTGCTTTAGGCAGGTATCTGGGCAATTGGACCAATCACGCCGGGTGCCCGGCAGCCAAGGGGTCGCAAAAAGTCACGGATCAGCGCCCAGCAGACCACTGGCATCAGTCTCGTTGTTTGTGGGACGGGGAATTCCTCGTGCCTGTCTGTGTCTCAGACCATCTGTGTTGCCTTCCTCCACCGAGACGATGATGCGCGTCACCGCTGTCTTAGCGCACTTTTTATACCGTCATGGATCGGATGGTCTTAAATCATCCTTAAGCTAGCAGCAGCACATCAGATTGTTTATTAGTTGCTCATTGCCCATGCCCGCTGGTTCCCCATGCATCACACTACTTGGTAGGTGGGAGTTAACTGTCCCTCCCTAGCATTGGTTACGTCAGGTGTTTTGTTAAATCATTAGTCTTAATTTTCTGCCTCCAGTCCTACTTGCGCCTGTCCAGGATATCGTCTTGCCACTATTAGCACCTAGGTAACTGACTAGCGCCATGCGTTCCCTCTCTGTCGGCGGGAGTGCTGCCGCGGCTCTCCTCGTGGGCCTGTCGGCGGCCGCGCCCCCTTTTAAACCCCACGGACCCCACGAACCGCAGTACATTGTTAATCAAGAGCGCGCCCGCGCCGTCAAAGAAGCCTTCCAGGTGTCGTGGGACGGGTATTACGAACATGCCTTTCCTCATGACTCGTTGCGGCCGGTGTCGAACGGCTACGCGGATGACAGGTGCGTTTTTTTGCCTCCCATGGGGCTCCCCCTGCTTCGCTGGTTCTGGCGTCTGACCTGTGCCCGATTGGCCTTTAGAAACGGATGGGGTGCGAGTGCCGTTGACGCCTTCAGCACCGCGCTGGTCATGGAGAACTGGGATGTGATCGACCAGATATTGGAGTACGTCCCGACGATCGACTTCAATAAAACTGAGACCGAGGTGTCCTTGTTCGAGACAACGATTCGATACCTCGGGGGGCTCGTGTCAGGTACGGTGCAGATGCTGCGGCATGTCGCCGTTGTGGGCTTAGCTGACTCGTCTACCCAGCTTACGATCTCCTCACCGGACCGTTGCGTGACCGCGTCAAGCAAACCCCCGACGTGGAAGCCGTGCTGACGCAGGCAAAGCGGCTGGCCAACAATCTCAAAATCGGCTTCGACACGCCCAGCGGCGTCCCGGACAACAACCTCTACTTCAACCCACCGCGCAAGGGCGGCTCAACCACGAACGGCATCGCCACCATCGGCACGCTGGTGCTCGAGTGGACACGCCTCAGTGACCTAACCAAGGACCCCGAATATGCCAAGCTGTCGCAGAAGGCCGAATCATACCTGCTGAAGCCGCAGCCCAGCTGGAGCGAGTCGTTCCCCGGGCTGATCGGCACCAACGTACGGCTCGAGGACGGGCAGTTCGTCGATGGCAACGGCGGTTGGGGCGGCGGCACCGACAGCTTCTACGAGTACCTCATAAAGATGTACCTATACGACCCCGACCGCTTCGCCGACTACCGCGACCGCTGGATCGCCGCCGCCGATTCCTCCATCAAGTACCTCGTCTCGCACCCGACCACCAAGCCCGACCTCACCTTCCTTGCTATGTGGCAGGGTAAAGAACTGCGCTTCGTCTCGCAGCACCGTAAGCAGCCCCCCTTTTCTCCGTCACCTCCCCCCGCCCTTACCACACCCATACCAGTTATCACCAGCAACTAACCCCCCACGCACCATCAGTGGCCTGTTTCAACGGCGGCAACTTCATCCTCGGCGGCCTAACCCTCAACGAGCCCAAATACACCGACTTCGGCCTGCTCCTCGTCGACGGCTGCCGCGCGACCTACACGGCCACGGCCACGGGCATTGGGCCGGAAACCTTCCGGTGGCAGGACTCTGCGCGGCCGCTCAACGCGACCAACAATCCGCCGGCACCCGCCGACCAGGCCGCCTTCTACGAGGACGCCGGGTTCTGGATCAGCAGCGCCAATTATGTGCTGCGTCCGGAGGTCATCGAGAGTTATTATTATGCGTATCGCGCGACGGGGGATCCCAAGTATCAGGAGTGGGCGTGGGAGGCGTTTGAGAGGGTGAATGAGACGTGTCGGGTGGGGAGTGGGTATTCGAGCGTGAGGGATGTGAATAAGGAGGGGGGGGGCGGGTTTGATGATTTTCAGGAGAGCTTTTGGTTTGCGGAGGTGCTGAAGTATAGCTATTTGATTCATTCTGAGGTGAGTGCTCGCACAATTCCCTTACCCGTTCGCTGGCCTCGACGGTTGTGGGAGTTTGATTGGGGAGATTTGTTCGAGCTGTTTGTGCTGACGACTGTGTGATATAGGATGCTTCCTGGCAGGTCAAGGCGGATCATACTAATGAGTTTGTGTTCAACACGGAAGCTCATCCGGTGCGGGTGGCTGCGGGCCGGGAGACGTTGAAGAGATAGAGCTCGATACGTCACGGCGTGGGCTCTGGGGAAGGACGCTGTCTATCTTGTAAACATGAAGCATGATTTAGAAAGTAGAGATAATCGACAGTGTTGATGGCTGCCAAGTGAAGTGGAGTTTGTCTTGTCACTCCTCATCGTGAACCGCTGCGAAAGCGGGGATTCTATAACCGCTCACCCCCCCCTCCCCTCCTCCTCCAGAACATGCGCCCACCCTTCAAGCACCGCCCTCCCGCTTGGCATACTCGTCCTCCATGGCCTCCTCATAGCGCTTGTCGGCCTCGATCTCAGCCTCTGTCTTGGGCCTAGTCGTCCCGGCACCTGTGTCGACTCCAGCGCCGGTTGGGCGAGAAGATGCGTCGCTCGCCGCTTGGGCCTGTTGCTGCTGGGTCTGCGTCTGGGTGCCGGTGTTGGCGGTGGCGGGGGTGGTTGAGGTTTGGTCTGCCATTTTGTGGAAGGAGGGTTGGGAATTGATGGTTTGGTCGTTAAAGTGTTGTTGGGTGGTGATAAGAATCGCGGGTATTTATTTGTAGGTCGGTGGCAAAATGCAGTGGCGAGGCCACGCAAGTAAATGGTGTGACTCTTGTTTTCGCAACGTGTTATGCGCCCACAACTCACACGCAGAAAAATGGAAACTCTGGGTATCACATCTAGGTACCTACCTATATTGTTGAATTCATAGTAAAACTGAATTTTCAATTCCAGATGCCACCGTTTAAATGATCATCGTTGCTATTTACGCTGGAGCAACGAATACCATGCAAATGAAGGGAACTATCTACTACAATTTCCATGCTACCTCAAGTACAAATGGAAGGGACTATAAAGGCAGGTGGTCGGTGACATTTGGAAACACGAGACGTCCATATCAATGCTTCATGCCCAGAAGCCCCGAATACGCCAAAAAAAGAACAAAAAATCGTGTGTCCCCGACTGGGCGACAGTAACCAAAGCCCAATTTACAACTCCAACCTTCCTACCCCCCGCCCATTCCTACCCGACAGTGTCAGCCGACTCTTCCTCAACCAAATTATCAGTAGCAACACGGGAGAAATACCGCTATCACCGAGATCTGAGTATCCCGATATCGAAGAGTTTACCGAAAGTGATGGCAAAAACCCGGCCGAAAGCCCCGGCCGCCCCCCCGAAGTTAGAAACAGCAAAAGAAAGAGAATTACTACCCAGCTTACAGTGCCCATTTAACATTAATGATATGGAGAGAAACCCGATTATCGTAACTGGCCATACTAGGCCGAACGCCAGACCGGACATCACTCTCCTCCTATGGAGCATCTAAAGAGGATCGAATATCGTTTAATCGCTCTTGTTTCCCCCATTCGATGATGTTACGGATATATGTACGAAATTGTACATAATGGTCTGGGTCCTCCCGGAGCCAGTGTATACCAGAGGCGTAAGAGCACCTCTAATCGTCAAAGGATCACTAACACTTAGATTCCTGGGAAATGGTCAAGGAAGTGTACATACGGCCCAGGAGAACGGGTCGACGTACCAGCAAGCCGGGTATATGAGTTATGAGCCTTCCCGAGGGGACTCCTCATGGGCAGCCATGTAGCCGCGGGTCGAGCTCTGCTGGCTCAAGCTAGAAACATGAGCAGGCAGGGCGGTACGGTTCCGGATGGTGGTTACCATGGACCGCCTCGGATACTGGGCCTTGCGCCGGCCTTCGTCGGCTCGCCATTCCGGCTCGCCCTTGGCGAGGAAAGATGGGGGGGGGTTTGCCGCCGGCGGCCTCGCCTGGACCTGGTTGCCATACGCGAGATAGATGGGGGGGTCCCCTAGCCGGCGCCGTTGCCGGAGATTGTATTCTCCTCGAGCGCGGCGCCGGCTAAAAGGGTTGTCATCGGCTGGCGGTAGCGCGTGGTGGCCGCGAGAACCCTATGGCGAAATGTTCGTGCCTCTGGCGCCCGGAGCGTTCATGGCAAGGGACATCGTCTCGTTCGAGTGTCGGCTGAGCAGGTTCTGCACAGGAGGATGGTGCGCGCGGATATGTTTTCTGCGGCGGGGTTAGTCCGAGTATGTACCCAGCATACGGGCTCGAATACTTCTTCCATCTCCCCCCCCCCGAGCTCCGCGAGCAGATCCTCTCCTACATCTGCGTCTTTCCCACAGGTATCCCAGTCGGCGGTGTCCCCGGCGGGAGGTGTGTGGCGCTGAGCCCCGGCGCTGCCGGCGTTACAGAGCATCTAGATAAACACCAACAACAACATCATGAAAGCACCTAGCATGATGTGCCGTTCGGGCTGCCCAAGAGGGCAAACGGAACCGGTCGTCGTCGACCGTTTTAGGAGCATTGCTAGCGTAGCTAGGTGGGAAGTAGTTGGGGATACTAGTCTTCGAGTTGAACCAGGGAATAGGGCATGTGGCTAGGGGAAAGGGGGCAGTCTGAGCATCTCGACTTCGTGGCTCGATGCCTAAAACCACCAGCGCATAGCATGGCCTGAGCACCGCTGGAGTCGTTCGATATTCGCCCGGGTTTCCGAGCTGGGCCTTAGGGGGGAGACATTTACAAAACCTCAAATGTGAGGTGCTCTGGAGCTGTATCACTGGTCGGGAAACCGAAGAAGAAGCGGCTCTTGAACTACCCTTAGCAGGTCCGAAAGACAGGAACTCGAGGTTGGCTGGGCATTATATCAAATACGTGGTCCATTTCCTACTAGACAGCGTTGGAGGAGGTTGCTCACCTGGCTGATGTCGGGCAATGATTCCTGTGGTTCATACAAAGAACGAGGGGGAAATAGTTGCAGGTGTCTAAATGTTTTACCGCATGATATTAAACTGTTTGGGTTTCCTTCCCTCGTCAAGGGGAGGGGGACATGCAAGTCGGGTGTGAGAATGGAAGTCCGCTTTGCTGGGACGTAGACTCCGTACATTATGCAGGGCAGTGTCCCGGCAGCAGCACCTTCACGCGGGTAATGAAATCACTGGCTGCGCAGAACAAAGCTCGAGCACATTACCTCAGGCGTAGAACTTGGGGTCAAGCAGCAATGGGTATAGATTATTGACTTTGCCATTATACATACAGGAAACACACGAAAAGGTTGCTTGGGCCTCCGCCCTCATTTTGCCTTCCGTCGTACCTTGAAGGTCTTGAGCGGATCCTTTTTCCCGCCCACCCTGAACGACCGCCCCTTGGGTTTCCCTTTCCTGTGTTTCCTGTCCTTGCCACCCTCCTTCTTGAACGGAACGAATCCGACGTGCTCCGAGGCCAATGCCTTTTTCCCGTCTTTCGGAAGTAAGTAGTCTGGCACGTGCTTGAGATGGGGTTGTTGTCGTGTTGTTCGACCCAGCTCTCCGTCGTGGCGCAGATGGGACAGTTCGGTGGGGTTCTCTTCAAAGTAGCTGCACGAGGTATTAGGGGTAACGTTATATGTGCAGGATATGCGAGACACTCACCGTTTTAGCGTCTCACTTCTCAGAAGCTCTTGCCGCAATTCTTTCGTCCTAGCCTCCCGGATCGCCACTTTGGTGACGGCACGCAACGCTGTAACCCGTCAGACACACTCTCGGCAAGTCAACACGCTCGGCAGACGTACCATCATTCATGCGGTATCGGAAGGCCTCCATCTGCGACTTGTTGAAGTTGTATGGCTCCAGCTTCCGGCCAAGCTTCTCCTGTTGTCTGGTGACCTTGGCCAACACCTTCTCGTCCTTCTCAGTGCTCTTGATTGCGGTTGGCCTGTGCTTGCCGTGGAATTCTTTAGGGATGACGAAGGAGAGTGCAATACCAGCACGGCCGGCTCGAGCAGTGCGTCCTATCCTGTGGGTGTAAGAGGAAGCTGATGTCGGCATATCGAAGTTGACCACAGCCGCGACGTTCTTGAAGTCGATGCCTGGGGCAGGTTAGCGGGCACTTTGTAGTAACCTTCATAGTGGCATACCTCGTGATACGCCGTATTCCTCATCCTTCTTTTGTTGCCTCCGCTTCTTTTTTGGTTGCTCTGCGCCATCCTCCTCGTTGTTCGACTTTTTCTTGGGCTCCTTTTCCGCTTCTGCATCCGCAGCTGCATCCCCAAACACTTCGCTCTTCTCGTCCGAGGCGATGATGATGTCGTAGATACCCTGTCGGTTCAATTAATTTCCTGTACTTCCACTCTTCTAGAGCCAACCCGACGTACCCGGTTGAATTCCTCGATAATCTTGATCCGGGTGTTGATCGGGAGTTCCGAGTTCAACACGCAACTCCTGATGCTGAACTGTTCAAAAAAGAGCTGCCATCTGTCAGCACACAGTCCCCCACCCCACGCCGAGCATCAGCCCATAACCCACCTTCAACCGATACGATCGATCGATATCCGCCACAAAAATCAGACACGGCCCCTTGATCAGCTGCAGCTTAAAGACCAGATACGAGACGAGCCACTTGTCGTCCTCGGCGCACTTGACATAAAACTGCGTCAGCTTCTCGTCCTCGGCGCCAAACTCCTCCTGCAGGTCCAGTACGGTCGGGTTGCGGCAGAAGATGCCCTTGAGGGTGTCGAGCTCGGCCGAAAGCGTCGCGCTCATCATGGTGGTCTGCACGCCCTTGGGCAACGCGCGCGCGATGTTCTCCATGTCCTCGTCGTAGCCGTACGATAGCACGAGGTCGGCCTCGTCCAGCACCAGGTACTGCAGTTGGGAGAGGGAGAGCGCCGACGAGTTGACGCTGTGCCATGCGCGGGCGGGCGTCGATACGACGATGTCGGGTACGTTGGCTAGGAGCGACCGCTGTACCGCGTCCGACACGTTCTCGGTCAGCTTGGCGGCGTGGATGTCTTTGGCGCAGAAGGCGGAGAATTGCTCGATCGCTTTGAAGACTTGGTCGGCGAGCTCGCGGGTCGGGACAAGGATTAAGCCAGCGGTAAAGGGAGCTGGGTCCGTCTGTAAGGGGTTAGGATGGTGGATTGATGATCAATGGGGTAGGAGGAGGGAGGGAAGTCTTGGGACACATACAGACTTGCGCTTGAGGATGGCGGAGAGGACTGGGAGCACGTAGGCGGCGGTCTTCCCCGATCCTGTCTTGGCTTTGCACAAGACATCCTGCCCCTGTAAAGCAAGCGGGATGGCCTTGCGTTGGACGAGGGTTGGCTTCTCGAAGCTCTGCTTTGCGACGGCCTGCACGAGGCGCGGGTCGAGGCCAAGTTCGGCGAAGGAGGGTTCGGCCTCTGTGGATGGTTTCTCGGCTTTGGCAGGCTTGGGCTCGGGTTTAGACGTGGCCGCAACGGGCTCGTCTTTGCTGTCCAATTTCCGCTTCATGGCGCTGCCGTGTATGGATCAGAAATGTGTCAATTCACGGCGGTGTTGATTTCACCGGCAAGTTTCAGGGTCCTTGTCCAACCAGAGGGGCCTCGACTTCGAAAAATTTGGGAAACCAGCTTCTGTTTGATGAGATAAGATAAGGAGAGCCCCCACCACATCTTGGCGCACCCCGCTTGCTCCACGAGCTTAATTTACCCTTGCAGGTTTGCCCCCGAAGCAAAGCTCATGAAACTAACTATTTCTCATTTTATCATCAAAAGGCTGTCTGTTTTTCACTAACATTTGATTGACTTTCCATTCCTCAACTACGCTCATTAAACATTTAACCCCCCAACCCCTCAAGGCGAAGCATACTTATACCCATACTTCGCCTTCGCCTCATCCACCAACGTCCTCGCCTCCTCCACGCTCTTCTTCAACTCCTCCAGCCCTTCCTCGCCCTTTAACGCGCCCTCCAAACTCTTGACCGAGATCTTCCACGGCTCGCCGCCGGGAACCAAGAACCCCTTCTCCACGGCGGGGCGCGCCAGCACGCGGTCCAGCCACGCGCGCACGTGGGGGAACTGGCCCGCCAGGTCCAGCCCGCCGTACACGGCCGCGTTCACCCACCCGACCAGGCTGATGTCGGCGATGCTGTACTTGCCGCGCCCGGGGCCCGCCACCCAGTCGCGGTCCGCGAGCCGCGTGTTGAGCACCCCGTAGAGCCGCTCGGACTCGCCGACGTAGCGCTGGATGGGGTAGGGGATCTTCTCGGGGGCGGCCCGGATGAAGTGGTTGGCTTGGCCTTGCCTGGTTTTGGGGGGGGTGGTTAGCTGCTGGGGCTCGGGAGTGGGATGGGAGTGGGAGGTATTGTCTGTTGACGACAGAGGAGACTTACATGGGCCCCAACCCGCCGTGCTGCCAGGCGATCCACTGCTCGGCGACGGAGTAGTCGTCTGAGTCGACGGGGAAGCTGAAGCGGTGCTCTGGGTCGTAGTGGCGGACGAGGTAGGTCAGGATGGGCAGGCCCTCAAAGACGGCGAAGCCGTTGCGGTCGTGGTCGACAATGGCCGGGATGCGCCCGTTTGGGTTGATGGCCGTGAACCACGGCTGCTTCTGGATGTTCTTGCCAATGTGCACCGTCTGCACCGTGTAGTCTTTGCCGTAGGCTTCCTTGAGCTCCTCGAGGAGAATGGAAACCTTGACGCCGTTGGGGGTGCCTGGGCCGATGTTAGCTTACTTACGGCTGGGTGAGTTACTTGGGGTAGGGGGTTGATGACCCACCAAAGGTCAAAAGCTCAATGCCAGAGTTGGCGATGAGGCCGGTGGGATCAGCCATTTCGTCTGGTTTGGTTTGAAGATTGGGAGCGGTAAAGGAGAAGGTTCTCAATTGGGTTAATTGGGAGGGATTGACTGGTCGAAGATGAGATGAACTTTGTTGTAAGTGAGGAGTGTTGGCTAAAGGCGCGGTGTCACGATGAATGTGAAAGCTGCGAGTGTGATGGGAATTGATGAGAACAGCTCGGAGGGAGGTGGTCTGGCTTCTTATCCCAAACCCCGCAAACGGACTGTGTCGTATGAAAAACATGGCTGCTGCATATGTCCCGATCTCGCGCAATCGGCCTCGCCCTTCTACACTACATAGGAGTTATAACTCAGCACTGTTTCGTAAGCAGCCGTCTCGCAATCCGACGCCGAATCTTCGTGATCGGCTTGACGTGATTATTCAGACCGGGCCCCGCTCTCTGTGCCGAGTGGACAAGCGATTGGAAATCCACTCATTCTTCCAACCTCCAACTGCTTGCTTTCTAATCATCCGCCGAAGAGAAACGAACCGATTGGCCATCCACCAAAACGGTCCCGGGACGTCGATAGCACTCAACATGGTGGGGAGCTTGACCGAAGTCACCAGGACGGGACAGCGTAACAAAGGAGTTGCTTCGAGTCGGCAACCTCCCCCACTCGGTCTTTTTCACATCACATCACAGCATATCTGCGAGCAGCCAATGAGCACGGTCAATTCCAAATGAGATCCCTCGATTGTCAAGTTATTACACAATACTTTTCCAAAAGTCACCGGGGGAGACATGGCATCAAGCTACGGCCACCTGGGGGATGGCAGGAGGGTAGGCATATGAGATTTTGTTAATTCGAACCTCGGAGCGCCATGCCTATTCATAACCTCGCGAGAACAGTCACAAGTTCCGCGAAGGCCTAGTTCAACACAAGTAACATATGGAACACTACACTAAAACCTGAACGCCAGACCCTTCTTACCACGTCTCAGTCTTCCCGTGTGGCCAACACGATACCGACTCCCGGAACTAGCCTCGTGCAAAGAACTGACATACATAACAAGGCCTGATCCGACAACATCCTCATAGACGTGGCTATCTTTTGGTAATTGGCGCATCTGCTAATACCGGCGCTCGTAATCCCGAGGAGGTGGGTAGGGCTCTCGGGCGTACGGGTCGCCACCACGCGGGGGGAAGTCCGGGGGCGGCGGGCCCCTGCGGTCGTATCCTCGGCCGTTCATGTACGGGTCCGGCGGAGGGTAGTCCCTAGGTCCACCGCGGTAGGGATCGTCGTAGCGGCCACGCGGGGGCGGGTAGTCGTCCATCGGAGGTCCGCGACGCGGAGGCGAACGGTAGCCTCCCCTCCTGTCATCATAATAGTCCCGACGAGGGGGAGGGGTGCGCTCACGGTACGCTCCTTCCCTATAACCATCCCGCCGCGGGCTATACCCGCGCGGGGGGCCGCGCCGATCGTAGTCATCCCCCGGAGGAGGGTACGGACGACGCGGAGAGCGCGAGCGGGCTCGGTCGCCCCTAGGGATGTCGGGCTGCGTCTGCAGGGAGAGTTAGCCAAAGAAAGCACTCGACTAGGTTCGCGGACATACGTTGGCGACACAGATCACACGAGCATTCTTAAACTCGCGGTTGTCAAGCTTCTCCACCGCGCTTCTCAGATCGGCGGCAGTCTCGAACTCCACGAAGCTACAAGAGCGGTTAGCGGCTCTGGCCTATTCGTAACCGTGTGGGCTAACATAACGTACCCTTCGTTGCTGCCGTTGCGGTTGGTCTCGGAGTAAACGACATCAAGGCCCGATTGCCGGGCGAAGTCTTTCAGGTCCTAGAAGCCAGTCCATGTAAGTTGAGATCCTGGAGTCGAGATTGGCGATCCTATGTATGCGCGCAGAGCCAGTCAAGTCCAGTACAGCCAATATTGCCAGGGGAAAGGCGCAGAGGGTCTCCGGCCGAGAAGGCCCCCAAGCGAGCTCAAAGACACTGCTAACAGAACCAGGAAAAAATGACGGGATGCTGGACAGCGGTGAACCCCCGAGGAAGCATGCCGACCAGGAAGGCGGCCATCCCACCATCACGCCCTTGTGGCGGTGGGGAGTCCAGACCGATTGACCAAACCAGAGAGGGACGGGTTAGTCCATGCGGAGGGGGGTCCCAAGGTATGGCCCGTTCCAAAGCCTCAAGAAGGGGTGTCCATAATGTCCGTGGAAAACGAAGTGGGAGAGCTTTAACAGACCTGCCAGCTGGTATCATTGGGGAGTCCACTGATTTGCATGCGATGCGGTGTGCGACGCGGTCGTGGAGCGCTGTTACGGTCGTGGTTGTACCCGCCGCCGCCGCCGCCACCACCACCGCCCTGTTCGCGATGGCGCGAGCCGCGGGCGAACTGGACAGTCAGGCGTTCTCCCATGAAGTCGGATCCATCTTCACATGTCGTTGTTAGCTAGGGCAACCATGGTAGGGGGTATCGGGGGTTCCTGAGCAAGAACTGGGACCTCGAACGTACGGAAGGCTGGTGACGGGCGCGTTTGGTTAGCGTGCGATCGCTGGAGGAGAAAATGGGGACACAAAGCTTACCTGGGACAACGTCCCGGGCGTCCATGGCGTCCTTGTATTCAATGAAACCGAACCCATTCATGAGTTTGATTTCGGTGATTTCGCCGGTACCATGCGTGGCGAAATGCGCCTCGACGTCAGCCTTAGTAGCTGTGGAGGATCGTCAGTATCGACAGTGTTGTCGGTCGGAGCCTCGCCTGGGACAACGGGCGCTTGTCGCTCTCCATTTCGCAAAGGGCTTACCGTTCCGGGGCAAATTGCCCAGGTACAGGCGGGTCGACGACACTTCAGTCATTGTGTATGCTTGCGCGACGACGAAGTGGTAGATGAACAGGTGAGATGGAAGGCGGCAAGGACGTGGGGATGTTGGGAAGGCTCCGTTGTGGGTGGGGTTGGCGTCGAAGCTGGGGCCAAGGCGAGCCTCGCGGCTAACAGGGTGCCAAGCTGAGCGTCACTTGCGTGCGACTCGATGCGCGAGAGCAAGTCTCAATTGTTAGGTAGTAGGTATGGGTGTGCGGTACGGCCCAGCCGATAATCAGACAGGATGAAGGCACTTTTGACTGATGACCCGGGAGGAGGACGGATGAAAACCAGCACAAACCGGGATAAAAAGTCGGCTTGTTGTGACGATGGGGATGGGAGGAAAATTGGCGCGCATCCTGACCGCGAAAGAAGACAGGCCAGGCCAAGCAAGGTTCCAGCCGCAGTCCCATTGGATGTGGAGAGCTGGTCTGGGAGCCACTGCTTGTGCGCCGTCACCTGCTCGGTCGCGGCTGCCATAGGTAGGGCAGATCAGAAATGCCTTTTCCCTTTTTTTTCCTCCTTTCTCTTTTTTTCCCCTCCTTTTCTCTTCTTTTTGTCTTTTTCCCTCCACATTCTATTCTTTTTTATTCCTCTCGCGTGAGCTGCCCTAAATAAGCAAGGGTAAATGCCAAGACCGTGGGGAAGGGCCCAGGGCCCGCATGTTCACCGACGAGAGCGATTGACGACTCGGGTCTGATCCCAGGTGCAGCAATGCGGCCTTGCATGCTGCATCGCGGCGCGGCCCACCTTGTCAACTGGCTAACACAGATATGTACATACAATCCAGCCTTGCGAAGTTTCAGGCTAAGTTCACAATCCTGCTGTGGTGCTCGAGATATCAATATAAAATAAGTTGGCAACAAGAACCCACACCCCAACCACAGCAATCCCCCTCATTAGTGACATCTGTGATGACGAAGAATCAACGCTCCGTCCAACGCCCGCCATGCAAACCAAACCGTAAACCTAAACACCATGGCAATGCACAGTAAAATCAAGGCCCATTATCCCCCCTTCCAGAAGTGACAACAAAGTATCGCATCGCCTAAGTTACCTCATCCCCAAATAAGATGTCAACAACCTCGTCCAACAGCGTAAACGCCAGGTGCGCACTACTCATGTTAGCCTCACTCTCCCCAAATCCCTCCCAACCGATACTGTTAGAAGAAAAACTTACTTCAGCCTCGCATTATTAAACGCCGCAAACACCCTCCGGCTCGCGCCCTGCGCATTCACACGCCCCACCACACTGCCCACCAAATCCGGCACCAGCGTAGCCAGCATCAAGCCCGCCTCGGTGCGCGTCCTCGCCTTCTCAGCCTTGGTCCTGGGCACCCTGACATTGCTGCCATTGCGCGGCACTTCCCCATCGCCACCACCACCACCACCACCAGCGTTACCCGGCCACAGCGCCTGCTTCAACAGCCCCACATAGCGCAGCAGAGCATCCTCTTGCACCAGCGCCCTCACATTCTCGCGCAGCTTTCGCTCAATGGTACCGCCCAGCAGCTGGTGCAGCACAACAACAACCGCACGGCCACGCAGCCAGTTATTTCCGCGGTTGAGCTCAAAGACCTCCAGGAAAATATCGCAGATAGGCTTGACAAACGGGCTCAATTCTCTCGGCCCCCTCTCCACCACCACCACCACAACCACCCTTGGCCGCCGCGGTCAAAAGCGTTCAGCTCGGCCTCGGCCTCGGCGGCGCTCATCATGACGCCCGCGGGGCCGCCGGCTGCGGCGGCAGCAGGGTCGCCGTCGGCGAGGGCGGCCAGGGGCATGGCGCCGAGCTGGCTGGTGGCGGCGGCGATGAGGTTCTGGCCGGCGAGGGAGAGCTGGTCGAGCACGGGGATGCTGCCGAGGATGTCCTCCATGCCGTCGGCGACCGAGTCGTAAAGGCGCGTCATCATGTCCTTTTTGGTTGTTGTTGTCGGGGTCGGAGGGGGTGGTGCTTTGGGTGGTGGCGGTGATGACGCTTTGTGAGAGGAAGGCGCGCAGGTCGCGGCTGCGGCAGACGTCGGGGAGTAGGAGGAGTTCGCTGAGGTATTTCTCGAGGCCGACGCGGCGCTTCTGGAGGAAATCGCTTTGGAGTTTCATGACGACGCGCCGGCGGGGAAAGTCGAGGTTGCGCACTGACGGGTAGTGTGATCGGAGTTTCTGGTGCAGCTCGAGGAACTCGCTGTAGCGGCGGTGGACTACCCAGATGGCCGCGGGCATTCGCTACACCAGCGTTGCGCGAGACCTCGATGGCGTAGAAAGCCACCTACTTTGTCCATCTTCCTCCTTATCCAGCCGGATAGACTTGATCTTAATAGTGGAGCGTCCGTAAAGGCTGTTGTCGCTCTCCTGGATGACGTACTGTTGTCTCTGCAACTCCTTGCGTCGTATTTCTCTCTGTAGACTCGCTTTTGACTTGCGCAAGATCCTCAGCTCGGCGGTGTTGTTGGTCAACTCCGCCTTCCTTAAAAGCGAATTCACTACTGCGTCTTGAGCGTTCAGCTTGTCAATGTCGTTCGTCAGAGCCGTGATTGCCTCGGCAAGTCCAAGATCGCCAGGAGCGGCCTCGTGCACGGCATCAGCGTCGTCAGCATTTAAGTCGTCGTCCAAATCGGAAGGCTCGTCAGAAAGGAACTTTTCATCGTCGCCAAAGAGGTCATCATCGACAAACACGCCGATGCGTGATGCAGCGCTCACGAGCCCCAGGGACGCCAGGCTGGGTTTATCCTGTCCTTTCCCCGACCGGTCAACATCTAGCGAACCCCTACTTGACTGGGGAAGTTCTCCGGAGCGGCGAGCATCTAATGACCCTCGACTCGACCTCGGTTGCTGCGGGGGAGCAAGAGCATCGAGCAAATTGCCACTGGTTCTTGTCATGTCCACTGAACCCCTCTTCGGCCTAGATGAGGGCGTGGGTGCTGGTGATACTCTTTGCTTTGGCGTACCGTCTGCTGGCGAGAAGAGACTGCTTCCAACGTCATCATCAAACAGCGATGCCCTGAGGTCCTCCACCGTTGGCGCCTGGCTCTCCTCGAGAATATTATTCAGCGCTTGTTCCATTGCCTGGACGACCTTAGTGTCAGGCATCGGGGGCGTATTGTTCGCGTCCTGGTCGAGGCTCGCCACAGAATCGCCGAGCATATCATCACCTCCTTCGTCCTCGTCGAATAACGGGGGTGGAGAATGCGGCTCGCCCATCGACCGTCGCGGGTCAAAGTCAAGAGCGCCGTTAGCAGGCATGGTTTTCGGATCGGCGTTTGATACACCTCGCCGGTTGATGGGCCCAGTGTGCAATCTTGGGCCGAGGCGCGCCACGGGCGTGGGCTTAGAGGTATGGGGTGTATTACGCGGGAGGGGTGAGTGGGATCTCGCTCTGGCATTCGACAACGCGGTACGTTTAGAGGCATCCTCCGCGGCTAGCGCCTTGAAGAAAAGGTCAGACTGCTTGAAGTTCTGCAGATGCCGAGCGCGCATTTCTTCTAGGGCTGCACTTTGAGCCCGCAGAATCTCTCTTCTCGCCCTATAGTACTGCTCGGGTGTCGCCCGTTTGCCGGCTCTGAGAAACTCCTGGATGATCCGTTTCGAAGAAGGCGGGACGTGTAGCTCCGGCCTGCTGAGGTAGGCGGCATCGATCTGAGCAAGATCGAGCCTGTCCGATTCCGTCCACGGCGGTAATTGCAGTGGCAGCTGTTCTCCTTCCGGTCCATCATCCTCCAACGGATTACGAAAGCCATCCACGACGAGCCAAAACTGAACCATGGGCATGAGCCGCTGCCGGTCCATGTACTCCATAAAATAGGAGAGGGTAGATGGATCTCGCAGCAAGTCGACGAGTGACGCGTGCTCCAACCGAGACTCGGTCGGGACATCAACTTCTACCGTTTCTTGATAGGCTCGTCGGCTACCTCCAGCGGCCAGCTGTTGAACCCTTTGATCTAACATTCTCTTGCCCATCTCCAGGCGCCGCAAGTAGACCTGGTCTACATTCTCCTGCTGGGAGTCCCTCTTGAGTTGACTGGCGACTTCGCTCCGGAAGCGCCTCGCATCCGAGAGGTTGTTGACCTTTCTAATAGCCCTAATAAACTTCTCGAACCTCCGTTCGCTGTCCACAGGCGTCAAACGTGGAAAGGCTACTGGTTTGCCGGCCTTGGGGGTCGGGGAGGCGTGTTGGTCCAGGGCGGCACGCAGTCTCCGAACCGTGGAACGGTCCTGAAGCATGGTCCGCCCGTAGTTCTCCATCAACTGGTTCCATGTATCTGGTTCGGATAACATCTGCATCACTGGGAACAGGACTGCGCACGAGGTGACCTCCCGGATCAGTGTCGAAACCGCACGGGAAGCAAGCAGCTTCTCGGGCAAGACGATGGGCAGAATCTTTGACATTGTCTGACGCAGGTGGTCCTGCTGAGCCGTCTTGATGTCCGAGAAGGCCAGGCTCGCGGCCGGGTGCAGCTTCCCCTCCTTATATTTCGATGCAATAGCCAGGTCCAGTTCCTCCGTCTCGGTGACCGACCTGTTCAACTTCCGCCCTCTAATCGACCGCTCGGCATCGTAGAAATGGCGGAAGTGGGCAGTCAGGATGGGGACGAGGCGGGTGGTGAGCACCTCGGCGGGGTCCTGGGCCTGCAGCCGGTCGCGAAAGCGGAGGAGGGCACATCGTATGGCCTTGTCGACCTCGTCGGTAAACACGGGGTTATTGCTGATGGCCGAGTACCATGAGCGGATGAAATCGCGGATGATGTACTCGAGGACCTCGTCGAGAGCGGCCGACACCTTCGGGGACTCGGGATAGAGGGACGCCTTGGCGTAGGTTTGGCGGTGACGGAGGGCGGCAACCTCGGTCCTCCACGCGTCCGGGGCGAGAAAGGCGGCGGCCCTCGGTCGTGCTGATTTCCGAAATTGGCGGTGTCGGTTGCCGCGGGAGGTGAGCAGCACGAGGGCGAACAGGGCGACTATGGTTAGCAGCACACCCCCAACGAAAGCATGGCCCGCCCAGCGCAGCACAGGGAACCAATTAATCGCATAGCCCCAGGCGATAAAGCACCCGGCGCCAGCAAGTGCTATGTTTCTCCCTCGAAGGGCCATAATCTAGGGCAGACGACGGGCGGCTGTCGTTGCCGCATGTTTCGGCGGTGTCTTGCCCTTAATTACGTGGTTGACTGATCGTCGGTAGCTTATCGACCGGAGTGGAGGCGCGCCAACAATGCAACCAGGTGAGCTCACATATAACTCCTTGAACCAAAGACCCTAACCCTTAGTACATAAAGCCCCAACCCTGCTTGCGTACGGCCTCGACTCCTTTCACACACATCATTAAAATACCTACGATATATCGGCGGACGTTTATAATATACTTCGAGGATTAATTAGGTCTGCAAACTCCCTTCAACAATTGCATCCCGCCACTCCGAAACGCTGAGGAGACGTACCCTGGATCTCGATTTGAAGTCAACGGGACAGTCACCAAGGTTATCAACTCTTGGGTTTTAATTGTGTATAATAGGCACTTAGTTTGGTATATAATGTTTGGCGCTACTTCAGAAACCGTCGACTCACAAAGATAGAGACTCGAGGATCAAGCCCCTGTGGTCGTCTCTTCAACAACAGGCATACCGTTCACCAGGCCTCGAATACTATCATCATCTGGGAGCTCCTGCGCAACCTGCCATCGCAAATTGGCCGTCGAACCCTTCAAGAACCAGTAGCAAGACTCAGCTCGTTCGACCAACACCGACCAGTGAGCCAACACAACAAGGGCGGCAGGACACTTCCGCCACACCATCTGACGAAAGTGAGCCGGTACCCTCCACAGCCACGACGCCATGCCCATCCAGACAGTCCTCGTGTCTTCCGAGAAGTAACTTGAAGAACAGGACTCAGCCAGTGTATCAATCGCAGACAACGTGGCAAAGAAGTCGAACGCACTGTCCGGTTTCCCTAATGGTTCGAGCATCCGAGAAGGGAGAGAGCGGATGTGTTGTAAAAGCGTGGGAGGTACAGTACCAGTACCGGCTGCTATGGTACTAGCATTTGAGCCCCCTCCCTGATCGGCTGTACCTCGACCAGACGCTTCTTCTCCTGACATATCCTCACTACCAACTGCCGAGCGGAGGGCAAACTCCGGATCGGAACAACCTCGAATGGTGTTGATAAAGAGTCGCAACCGAAAAGGTGCCGCCGTCAACTCGGAAACCGTGGCTGATGCCTCGGACGACCATTGGCAACATTGTAGAATGCAAGCCATCTGTGCACCCGCCTTGGTTCCCTCGACAGGGGTGGAGCAAGACTTGCGCTTGGCCTCTTCCCATCCGGAAAAGAAATCTTGAGAAAACTGCGCTGCTTGAACGAAGTGCGCTTGCCTGATCGCTCCCTCTTCAGAAAGCGTGCCGGCGTGACTCGCCGAGATGGCTAGCAACCCGGACATGAGCCAGCCTAACTGCAAGGCTTGTGCAACCACGTCCACCTGCCAGTACGTTGAGAGTGAATTTTCGGAGCTGGGAAGTGTCGAGCTAGTTATGGTGGTGAAGTGATGAAAATACCGCAGCGTCCCCAGGTCTAGGCCGCCCGACCCGGGCTGCACGGGAAGACGTGGTACGGGTGTATGCGGGCGATCAGCTATTGTTGGGGAGGCAACAGATTCGATACCATCTTCAATCGCTGGTGGCACAAGTGGCGCCCCAGTCCTCTCCTGAAGTGGCCCGGACCGGACCTCGAAATACCTCAGCCTTGTTCCTCGGAAGAAGGTCTGAAGGAGTACTGGGCGGGAAAACGGCGGCGGCGGATCGCTCTCACCATGCTTCTCGCTCCAATGGCGCCTCATGCGCTTGGAGCTAGCACACAGATTCCCGCACCCGGCGGCTGTGCAGCCATAGCCCGAGATAGTGGGCAGGCCTTCCACCGGCAGAGAGCTTGCCGAGGGAAGCTGCACATCATCCGGTTCCAGGATTTCGAGCTGGGCAATGGCAGACAACAAACGTTGCCTCTCTCGGCGATAAACCTTGTGCCGGAGGAGATGGCTTCCAAGTGCACTCTTCTGAATGGCGTACTGGCACTCTCGGCAGATTAATACACGGTGCTTTGCATTGTACGCCAGAAGATCACCTGTGCCCAGAATGGTAGCCATGTTGGTTTCGAGGGCCCGGATTGTAAAGGCCGTCAGGAGCCTTGATCGAATGGGTCGGCAGCCAGAACCGCATGATGCCGGCCTGTCAGTGCTTAAGAGAGCTGGGGGCTTGCTTAGCTGAGTTTCCGGGCCCCTCGAGTGCTTCAGGGGTATTCGCTCCTATGCCAAGGCCATACAGGGGCAGAACAGCATATGCTGTTCCCACTTGATAAGCACAGCAACCCCTGGTCGCCTTCCCCTTGCGTCCAGAACGCCATATCGTGTTCTGGAACGGCACATGGGATTTGAGAACATCATGTCCCAGTTCTCCAACAAGAGTCCCCAAAGAATCGATCTATTATTGTTCTGACGTCCATTTCTCAAGCCGATGACCAATGTACCTCATCAGCGCCATCCCCCTTCAGCTACCCAATTTTGTAATCCAGCGTTAGCACAACATGGCACACCACCTTAGAAAGCGGAGGATGAAGCTGCCTTCAGGCTCGTAACCAGGCGAGGGAGGCATATAAACAAGTCAGAATGCCCACCTCCCTGACCATTTTCTTCCCCAACTCGCTACACACCACCTTCCCATCCCAGAGAAGTCTCTCCCACCAACCGCCAGCACAAACACCGCAACACTACACGCAGAGATGGCATCAAACCTGAACAGGGCCGCCTGGCTCCACAAGGCCGGCACTCCTCTCGAGGTGGGCGAGGCTCCCATGCCAACCGCCGGGCCCAACGAACTCGTTATCCGAAATGCCGCCGTTGCCATCAACCCCCTGGACTGCCACATGCAATCCGCTGGTGTCTTTGTCCAGCAGTGGCCTTCCGTTTTTGGCTGCGACGTGGCTGGCGTGGTCCACGAGGTTGGATCCGATGTGCATGAACGCTTCAAGGTTGGCGATCGTGTTATTGGGTATGTCCTTACCTACAGCCATCCTAATACATACATCCCTTACCGCCATCAAACACGAACAATCTCCTAACATCGAGGCCACACACAGACACGCCATCAACCTAACCAGCGGGCGTCCCCAAGACGGCGCCTTCGCCCTCTACACCACCATCCCCGCATCCAAAGCCGCCATTCTCCCCTCCTCCATCCCCTTCACCTCCGGCGTAGTCGTACCCTTCGCGCTCGAAGCCGCCGTCTGCGCCCTCTCGGTCAAACAGCCCGGCACGGCCCTCCCCAACGTGCCCACCCCCGCCCTCGGCCTGCCCTACCCCTCCCTCACCGACCCCCCAACCACCATCACCACCACCACCACCACCAACCCCCAAAAGACCCTCATCATCTACGGCGGCTCCTCCTCCGTCGGCTCCATGGCCACGCAGCTCGCCACCGCCGCGGGCATCCGCGTCCTGGCCATCGCCAGCGCGCGCAACTTTTCTCTCTGCCGCGCCTGCGGCGCCGCCGCCGTCTTCGACTACCACGACACGTCCTTCGTCGATGACGTCGTCAGCGCTGCCACAGCAGAGGGCGGCGAGTTCGTGGGCATCTTCGACGCGGTCAGCACGCCCGAGACGTACGCGAATGGGCTGGCCATGCTGCAGCGCTTGGGCAGTGGGCATCTGGCGTGCGTGCACCCGCCGCCGGAGGTGCCGGAGGGGGTGCAAGCCGGGATGATCTTTGCGGTGGATGAGATCGCGACGCCGGTGTGGAGGGATTATGTGACGGCTGCGTTGGAGGCGGGGAGGCTGAAGTGTTTGCCGCCGCCGCTGGTGGTGGGGAAGGGGTTGGAGTTTGTGCAGGAGGCGTTGGAGAAGTGTGCGCAGGGGGTGAGTGCGACCAAGTTGGTGGTGGAGCTTTAAGGGGAGGTTGACTGGGTCCTGCGCAACTGACAGTCACTGTCAACCCTGTCTAACTTTGAACTCTTGCTTTGGAAATGAGAATAGTCCCTGCGTTGATTTAGATTGAACTTTTGACTCCATGCTACTACTTTTTTATTTATTTCTAGCGTGTGTAAACACCCGTGTTGGCAGTCGCGTCGTATAGGGCTTCGAGGGCGAGCTTCATGTTGACTCAAAAAGAAGGCGGACAAGTGTAAGTTTCAATGGGTTGGCTGACTTACGGAGTCAGGTAAATTGGAGCTTCTAATTATCACTCCTGGTGAGATCGTGGTTCGAAGAATCTCTTGGACGGTTGTACCGTGGCTCGGACGCCTGGATTGGCACACGCCTCGACCAACCATCTTCAAGAAGAATCGAACCACTCGCTAGATGTGGGTTCTTGATGCAGGGAGCCGGAAGACCCCGCATCAGAGGAGGGCTGACGACTCGTCAAGAAACAACACCTCAACTCACCGGACAGAAGGGCCATCACAAGTGACCACCATGTCGATGACTAGGGCCAAGGCCACCCCTCTGGCTGAACTCGTACTACCAAACACCCAGTCTCAGACCGAAAGGGCCGCGGTGGACATCATTCATCATCCACATTTCCAAAGTAGCTTCGAAGTGGGCGGGAATATAACCAAAGGTGTGTCTATTCGGGACGGTATCAGGTGCCCCTCCGGTCGCTGATGTCAGGTATTACACAGCTCTCCCCATTCCTGGGTCAGTCCTCGTAAATGCCCAACTGTCCGGAAGCTCTCTCTGGGGCAAAACTGTCAAGTTGACCGCCAGACTTCATAATGGGGGGCTTCAGAACTATTTCCTCAAGGTGACCGACCATGCTTACCTGGGATAAAATCAAAACCTGAAAACCTGCTAAGCCTGTAGATATCAGGTCGTCTTCAATCTCGGCGCCGTCGGAAAGCATATGTGTAATGGAGAGTTCGAGTCTCTGAAAGCCATTCATGCCGTTTCCCCAGGCTTTGTGCCTGAACCGTATGCGTGGGGCGAGGTGACCGACGGGCAAGGCGACTACTTCCTCCTTGTGGAGTTTTGCCACTTAAGATGTCAGGTAAATCCCACTACTAGGAAGCCAAATCATGTGTTTTGAGTCCAGGAATTGATACTAAATAATAAACTTCACACAGCCCGCGGTTCCTGAGAAGCTGTCAAGTAGACTCGCTGACATGCACATGCGCTCGGTATCGCCAACGGGGAAGTTCGGTTTCCATGTTCCGACGTGCCACGCTAAGATCATTCAAGCCGTCGATGCGTGGGATGATTCATGGTGTGTGGTCTTTGGTCGCCACCTTGGTCATATTATCAACTTGGCATCATCCACTCTTCAGTGGGTTGAGTTTGACGTTGTCTCTGATTTGGTTCTCAAGAAGGTGGTCCCCCGTCTCCTGTTGCCGCTTCAGTCAGACAGAAGAGTGTTGAAGCCTACTCTTATTCCTGGCGACTGTTGGGACGGTAATACAGCTATGACCATGACGGGCGAGGTATTGATGCTTGATGGGCGGCTTTTACGATTGATATCAGGTATTGACGACCGTGTAGTGTCTACCAGGATATGACTACACTCTGCAAAATGTTCTGTTCTAAGGACCTAGAACAAGCGATGGTGCACTTAGAAGAACGCAAAACCCTCGAGGGTACGCTCACAGTTGCCAGCTCTGAAGATGAAGACGAGGAGGAGGAGGAGGAGGAGGAGGAGGAGTAAAAGAAGCAAGAATGAGATCATATCCCCCCACAGTTTGAACTTACAAAGTACTCGTGTCTTTGTTCATATTCCAATCATTTGATTAGCTTAGAGACTTGTATAGCAATTTCAGATTAGAAAAATTGTTATCGCATTTCCATTCATTACTCGAGTAATATTCCAGCACACGAGATAAACTCGCCACATACAGCTATGCTAGGTACCTACCTAGACCATAACTACCTACTATCTACTTTAGCTTACCTGCGCCACGGGATGTGTTTGGCCGCCCGGCCCCTCCAAGCAGCTAAACCCCCTAACGAAGCCTCCCTAACCCTTCGCGCGTATTTGACACAGGCTACAGCGGAGCAACAACTTGTAATCACGCTCGGAAGAACCGGAAGAGCTGGAACACCTGACATACCGCACTTGGACCTGGGCTACGGTAAACGCCAATACGCTTGAATTTGCGGTGTACGTGACCCATGCTGACATGCCCATGATGACTGGGTTGGTTACCTAGGGAGGTAGGTATGAATACAAGATGGTGACGACTGACGAGCCGGGCTTGCTGACATGTCAGCAAATGGAATAGAGATTACGATACGAAAGCTAAGACTATTTGATTTAGTGATACGCAGCCTTAGAGAGTAGGTATGTACATGGGCTAATGGACAAGATACGCGCACGCGGAAGCGAATACGCCCAGCGCACTTCATTCACGTCTACCACAGGTCTCAAATCAGTGATGGAAAAACGAAGGCGACAACAGAGGGAACTTGTAAGATGAAATCAAGTATAAGATGGGGCTGTTCTCCAGCTAGTTACCCTTCCAAGCTCTCACAGACTTGCAGTCAACGCCGCTCACACTGCATTGCGAACCACGGATACCTACAACGTAGAGTGGATTGAGCAACACAATGAACGACATTCTTTATCTCGTCTCCCTCGGGGCTTTGGCCTTGTCTCCGCTGGCAGCGGCCACTCCCACCACCCACACCAACTTCAAGCAATGCGTCCAGCTTCAGGTCCCCGTCCCGGTCGTGGCTACCAACCACCACTACACCATGATACCCCGGGTGGACAGCAACATCGACGCCATCGACTGGACTGTGAATGTCACGACGTGGTCGAGCAAGCCTGCTAGCGAACTAATCTCCGGTCCCGTGCCCATCAACCGCACCTTCAGTATCAACGCTCAGTTGTGCGTTCCATCGCAAAAGGGCGATAAAGCCGAGATTTTGCAGATCGCAACCCACGGCCAGGGCTTCGATAAACGGTGAGTGGTACATACCAGCAAGCTACTAGTTAGAGGTGCTAATCGGTGTCTGCTTGGTATAGCTACTGGGACGTGGAGATCAAGCCGGAAGAGTACTCCTACGTCGACGCTGCCGTCAAAAAAGGGTACTCGATTCTCACCTACGACAAGCTTGGTGTAGGCAAGTCGGAGAAGCCGGACGCTTACGACATTATGCAAATCCCGACCGAGGTCGAGATCCTAGCAGTCTTGACGCGGCTCGCCCGCAGCGGCAAGTTGATCAGCTCATCCAAGGTGCTGTCGAACACCGGTAACAAAGCCACCGTCACCGACTTCAAACCGTCCAAGATCGTCCAGCTCGGCCACGCGTTCGGCGCGTACCTAATCACGAGCATGCTCACGCTGTACGGAGATCTCGCCGACGGCGCACTCCTTTCGGGGTTCCTCGTCAACACCCAACTTGGGAAGATCGACGTCCTGACCTACGACCACGAATTCGCTCGTCAGCACGATCCAGTGCGTTTTAGGGAGTACGGGTCGGGATATTTCGTGCTGAACACGGAGAGCTGTATCCAGAAGCTATTTTTCCGGAAGGGCGCTTTCGAGCCCAAGATGCTGACCTGGGCCGAGAAGAACAAGCAGCCTGAGACTGTGGGCGAGTACGCTTCCGAAGGGAACCCGTCGCCCGCGCCTGAGTTCAAAGGGCCGATTCAGGTGAGTTTTTAAGGGGTTTCCTTGGTGTTGGGGCTTCGAAGATGTTTGGCAAAAAAAGAGATGACTGACTGTTTCGCCCATACAGTTCTTCAACGGCGAGTTCGACAACTTTGTCTGCGTTGGTGACTGCCGGGGGACGTATCTCGAGGAGGAGACAAGGAAGATGTATCCCAAGGCGTCGCACATTGAGTCTTACCTGCAGCCCAACACCGGCCATGTTCTGACCCTGGCGACCAACGCTTCTGCCGGCTATGAGGTTATGTTGCAGTATCTGGATTCCCAGAGGCTTTAGGGGAATGAGGGATGATGGAATTGGAGAGAAAGGCGGTAATGGGAGCTTTCAAGTGTGAGGAGTGCAACAGATAGAGCCATTTTCTGTAGCGTAATTTACAATCACCATGACCGCCGAGCGATTCACATGCCACTCAGGGCTTGGCATATCAACCCCACTACGAACTTCCCATCCTCCCACTTGACTTGCAAGTAGGTAGTTGCACACTCACTTCCCATCGTCAACTCACTTGGGCATACAGCATCTCACATCCCAACTCTCCAACCCCCACCCCCACCATGCTACCCCCTCAGCAGCGAGCCCCTACCCTTCTCTCCCCCGCGACTACTCCTTCCCCCCCTTCTTCACCCGCCAAACTAACCTCACCACCACCACGCCCAGCTTACCAAATGGGCCCAACCTCGTCCTCGCCTACTGCCGCCACCACCGCATCTTCAAGCTCTCCCTCTCCGGCCGCAGCGGCACCACCGGCACCACCACCACCGACCCAACCACAACCACCACCATAACCCCTGACACCAACAACGGCACGCGCGACACCACCGCGCTCTTCTACAACCGACGCCTCGACCGCGGCCTCTCACACGCCGACATCCGCGAGGTGATCGACTTCCTGCGGCGGGACGGCCGCGCCGAGTACGTGTCCGCGCCCACCTCGGGCACCACCACCTTGCCCATCGGTATACCGGGAGGTGCTGGTGGTGCTGGTGCTGATGGTGGGGGAGGGGGAGGTGGAGGTGGTGGGGGAGACATGGCGTGGATCTACTGGCGTACGCCGGAGGAGTGGGCGTCGTTGGTGGAGGGGTGGGTGGAGAGCACGGGCCAGCGGGGGAGTGTGTTGACGGTGTATGAGTTGGTGGAGGGGGATGGGACGAGGGGGAGTGGTAGGTTTCTTTTTCTTTTCTTTTTTTTTTTTTGTTTCTTATTCGGCTTTTTCCCTTGCTTTGGGTGGTTTTTGTCATGCCCATTGTGGACATGCTAACAAGATACAACACAGAATTCCACGGGATGGACCAAGAGCTGCTGCGCAAGGCGTTGAATGTGTTGGTGAAGCAGGGCAAGGCACCAGGTTTTCGGGCAGGAGGATTCATTGGGAGTCAAGTTCTTTTTGAGAGTACAGTCTTCATTGGAATCTGGTTATCCGACGGGAGTCAACGAGTTAAGACTAGCGGCCTTCAATGCCAATCGGCATAGTCAAACGGGACTCAAACAAACAGCAAGACAACGCCCGAAAAGCACACCCAACGCCAGGCTACCACCACACCCACCACCACCCCGTATCTCCTACACTACTCTGACATCCGGTTGCTCATCGAATACTTCGGATCAAACGACAACTCCTGCCGCATCGCCACATCCAACAGCCAGTCAGCCATGACAATCCGCGGTTCCATGTTCCCCTTGCGCGCCATCTCTTGGAACCGCGGCCACAGCTGCCTCTCAGCCGGCGTCGCCCCAGTCAGCAGGTACACAGGATCAGGCCCCGCATCGCCGTCGTCTTCTTCCGTGGCCGGCTTGATGGTGGTGCCGCTCCTGGCGCGGTAGACTTTAAACATAGCCCCGTTGGCCTCGGCGATGTTCCTGAACGCGTCGACACCGTTCGGGATCTCGGCTGTGCAGTAGATGGGCACACCCCACAGCAACCGGCCGCGGTTGGCGCGCGCTCGGTTCACCGCCTTATCGATGCTCACGCCGAACCGCGCCTCGTTGGCCTTGTCGACTAGCAGGTGTTCCTTGATAGGGGGACGTTTGCCCGACTCGATGCAGGCCGTGATGAAGGACGAGTTGATCACATCGGGCCCCTTGGCGAGACAACGGAGGAACTTCATCGTCCGAACCATGCTGGGCGCGGCGAGGTAATTACATGGCGTGTTCTCCTGCACGATTTGGATACCGAGGGAGCGGAGTTTTCTCTGTAACTGTAGTTAGTAACAAGATCGAACTGCAGATGGTAGAGTGACAAACCCTGTCGGCCTCCTCGGTCGCTTTATTCTCCACCCACCGCTTATATCCCGTTAGGCAGATGCGCATATCGATCTCCGGCAGCGATACCTTGGCCCGTTTGGCCGGCCGCTTGTTTTCTTGCTCGTCCTCGAGATCGTCCGCCGCCCTGCTGGCCGGGCTTGAACTCCTGTCGGCCCGCTCCTTGTCGAGTTGGTCAGCCGCACGCTTGCCGCCCCAAATACCGTGGCCGTCCTTTGCCATACGCTTCTTTTCTTTCTCGTACAATGCGATATCCGGCGCGAGGTCTTGTAGTTTTGAAAGCGCCTGAGCTTTCGCGCTGCGGCTTGCGCTCGACATGACAGACGGGGTATCATTCTCCTTGCCGGACCGCACGTGGCGTGCCTTTGCCGGCGTTGAAAAGTTCCCCATTGCTGGTGTGGCTCGTGCCTTCTTGACGGATTTCGCCGGCGCTGGGCTCGAGTCCTGCATAACACTAAAATCCCGGTCCAGGCCCACGTTGAGGGCGTTCTTCTGGGCGCGCTCGTTGATCTTCCTCTTCTTTTTGGCTGCGTCGTCCATGTGCTCTTCTCCGCCGGGATAGTACCTTTCCCGCAGAGTAGGCTCATCAAAGGATGTCTGGCCAATGACCTCGCCTAGATTTGTCCGTGGTGGGAAATGTCGGTATCGTTGATTGCTAAGGGGCAGGGGTTGACAAGCGGCGTAGCTCTCCTCAATCCAGAAGTGGTTGACAATCTCAATGTTCCAGTCCTTAGCCGCTTCGCATTTCTCGCTGTGCATCCTTGCTGTGATAAGATGCGTGTTTTCCGCCTTCATCGTCCGCGTGTACGTCGCGCCTGCTGCCGTGATGAGGTTTTCTAGGTATATCCGTGCTTCGCCTCCGTAATTTGACAGTGTGATCCGCATGTCCTTAAACCCGGGCATGCCGCCCCTGGGGATCGGGTAGTGGAGGAGTCGCCGAAAGGGTGAAGTCCACTCGTTGTACACCATTAGGTGATATAGCCATGACAGGTTACCCACGTCCTTCCCTTGCTGCGATGCGCGAATGTACTGGTCGCCCTCTCGGTAGTGGCAGACGAATATATCGCAGTCTTCGACCGCGTCGACAACCTCTCCATCGCCCTTGGTGATCTTGTCCGTGATCGTCTTGCGCAGCATGTTGTTGATAGGTAGATCCCATGAGAGCATGATCTTTTTCTGCGCGAAGACAACCAGTTTCTCGGCCCCTTCGGTCTCGTACGGGCCAGTTGGGACTGCCGATACAGCGCCCTCCAGCTGCTGGCTCAGGGGGACTTTAATAGCGTCTTCCGGCGCCTTCAGCAAGATCTCGGGGTCGGGTAGGAGGTAGGGGCCCTCGTCGATTCGCTTTCCCAACCGAAAGCAGTCGTCGAACCTAGTACCGATCAGTTCCACTCTCCGCGTAGCGAGATATTTTTGAACACCCTTACCAATGAGGGAGAACGATTTTGCACTTCAGGTTCTTTTTCTTGGCCTCGATACATTTAGGATGGTCCAGGGACAAGGCGCACACATGTGTGGTCTGGCGCGACAGGTCCTTGGATTCCATGCCGCCGAGAGCCATAATCGCGCCGGCAATGGCTTCCTTGTCCGTGGTCGGGATATCCGCAGATGTGAGGACGACGTTGGAAAAGATCATCCTGGGGTCGGGCGAGAACGGGCGGACCTGGGCGACCTTGCTACGGGCGATGGTTGCCTTGATCCAGTCGGACCTGACGGTCGGGATCATCATAGCTTGGGACTCGGCATATTGGTCAAAGTCGATGGTGTTGGAGATGATGTGGGTGGCTTGAGGGATACGGATTTTGCCCTTCCGATCCGGCTCCAGGATCTCGGCGCCATGTTGTCTGACAATTTGGGAGAGCTGTTGGGGTTAGCGACAGCTGGAGTGTTTATTGCTGAATCAAACGCGCACCTGCGAAATCAGTGTACTCGACAATGACTTGCTCTGAACGAAAGCAATTAGGCACGAGTCGAGCAATCCCGGCCGTTGGTTTCCGTCTGTCATTTTAAAACCAGCGGGTGTGCAACGCGCTCCTGACACGCGTTTGCATTAAGAGGCAGGTCTTCAGGTCACTCAGGTCGAGAGACGATCGTAAGTTGGGGAGAATTGGAACCAGGGGCTCAAAGACAAGTTCATTGACAAAGCGTGCTGTCCCAGTTTTCAACCTGCAGCAAATGACACAGCGTGGCAGGTGCGGGCAAGTGTTGTGCTAAAGAGACGCGCCTCAAAAAAGCAGTGGGGGCATGCGGCTGACGCGAGGCAGCCGCGTCTCACATGACCAAGCCCATTTAACCCTGGACGCGGGCGTGGGGTCAGGGGAGGGGGAGGGTTGCAAGTCTCAGAGCTTAATAAACTCATTCCACCATTTTGAGGAGTCACAAAGCCATTGACGAATCATCAGCTTGGAATCTCTTCTTGAGAGCTCCCGGGGATGTGGCTTGCGTCAACTCATCCAAAGGCCCGAAATTGGTGACGAATTCTATGGCATGTTGCCGGCTTCTTGCAGGTTGACTCATTAGAAAGAAGCGGCGGGAAGCCAATTTGATCAGTGACTCAAGGAGCGGCAGAGAAAAAGCAATCAGCCAGTGGATTGGGAGGAAAGTGTGAGGGCGGTAAGGAAGAAGCTGCCGAGGTGGAGTGGGGCGGCGCGGATAAGGAAAGAGGCGACGACGGGGAGATACTTTGTGCGATAGGGAGGTTCGGGCCAAGTCGGGGCGAACTTGAAGATGATATTAATTGGGGCCGGCCAGCGTCGAGAAGGCAGCCAGAACTTACCGAGTCAAGTGTGGTATGTAGAGGGCAGGCTCTCCGTTTCGGCTACCGATAACTTGAACGAAAAATGATCGGAGCTCTGGCTGAAGCCCTCCGCCATTCTTGTCCAGTACCTATGCATCGGATTGGCTACCGAGTAACCATCTACATATCCAACGTTCGAGGCACACCCACCCCAGCGGCAATACGTACATCTCGCTCGGTCAAACTAACGAATTATGCTGTATACTCTATGCCAAGTAGCAAGCCTCAGCCTGGAATACCGCTGTTAAGTGCAATCCCGCGTGGCCGCATCCAAGCACCTGTGTACATCAACGCTAGATGATTACCGGTAGCTGGACGCAGACCACAAGCAAATCATTATAAAAAGTAGAAAACGGTATCTCCATCCTCTAACCGAAGGACATGTCCCCCCTGTGCACCTCTAAATCGCACGACGAGCCACCAAGCAAGGCAAAGTGCCATACAATTCCACCACATGTATCTCGTTGCGCCGTCGCCGTTTTGCAGTGCCGAAAATGCGCGCATGCCGGATCTATTACCCTTAGAACCCAAGAATGACGGGAAGACGGCCAGGCCAGATCCGATCGTATGTCTGTCATGACGTCGTCTATATAAGCCACGGCATTTATTTACGCCTTAACCTCATAGGTCCGCTTGAACATGTCATCGACCTTGGTGAGATAGTAGGTGCCGGGGGCGATGGTTGAGACATCGCCCTGGGGGGTGTAATCCTTCTGGAGGTGGGCCTTCTTGCGGAGGTCGCACATCTTGGGGGGGTTTCGTTAGCAAATGGCTCAACACTTTTGGGGGCTTGTCCAACTTACAGCGTCGTAGGTCTCCGGGGGCACTTGCCGGCGAGCGGCCAGCTTGTTGGGGATGTCGAGAACCTTGGCGATAGCCTCAACGCTTCCCTTGACGCGGAGAGAGAAGAAGCTAGCGGCCAGACCGGAGCCATAGCTGAACAGTGCTATCCTCTTGCCCTGGAGGGCGGCGTCGTCAACGTGCGAGACCAAGCTGGCCAGACCGCCCCAGACGCTGGCGCAGTACATGTTGCCGCAGTTGGTAGCGACCTGAATGCCGGGGTTGACGCGCTCCTGGAAGCGCTTCTTGGTGAGACCCCAATGAAGGGTCTTTCTCGGACCACCTTATCGGTCAGGGACTTCTCGTAGTCCATGTCACGGATGTCAGGGGTGACCTCAGCGAACGCCTTGTTCTCGGGGTCGGCGAGGTAGTCGTGGTACAAGAGGCGGGCGTACGACTTGGCCACGAGCTTGCAGGTGGGCGAGTGGAAGGCCAGGTAGTCAAAGCGGTCTAGAGAAGTCTTGGGAACAGCGGGCTCGGCAGCGCCGTTGGTATGGCCGTTGGTGCCATTGGTGCCGTTGACAACTTGCGCCTCGCGCTTGCAGTAGGCACGGTAGGCACCGTCAAGGGCCTTGGAGTAGCAGTTGATCGAGTAGTGACCGTCGACGTAGGGGTACTCGCTCGTCAGGTCGGGCTTGTAGAAGTCGTAGGCGTGCTGCATGTAGCTGCCGCGGAGACCAGGCTCGAAGGCGAGGGGCGCATCGGGACCGATGAGGAGGGCAACGGCACCAACACCACCGGTGGGCCGAGCATTACCCTTGGCGTACAGCGCGATGTCGCCGGTAACTACGATGCCATCACGGCCATCCCAAGCCGAGGACTCGATCCAGTTGATGGTGTTGAAAACGGCGTTCGTGCCGCCGTAGCAGGCGTTGACGGTGTCGACTCCTTCAATGTTGGTGTTGTCGCCAAAAAGCTGCATCAGTACGGACTTGACCGACTTGGACTTATCGAGGATGGTCTCGGTGCCGACCTCGAGGCGGCCGATGGAATCGGTGTTGACATTGTAGTTCTTGAGCAACTTGGACAGAACGGTCAAGCTCATCGAGTAGATGTCTGGGATGGCGGGGTAACCCGCGTCAAATTAGCACATGAGCACACGACTGGTTGTGGTGGCCCCGCCAACCGCCTGTTGCCAGGGACCAGGCAGGCAGGGTCGGTGGCGGGGGAGTGCAGCTCCGAGGGGCCAAAAAAAACACAACCTCAAAACACCACCAAAGATTCGAGGCAAACAGGGAAAATTACTGACCTTCCCGATCGTCGCAAAAGCTCATCTTTGTCTGCCCAAGGCCGATCGTGTACTTTCCGGTGCCGACGCCATCGAACTTCTCGAGCTCGGATTGCTCGACATACTACGCGGTTCACGATTGTTAGCGATGTCGGCGCCAAGGTTGTAACTAACAAGGGGCCACGCGCATCAAGCGCTGCTCATGCAAACACGTACCTGGCTGGGGACGTAGATCTCGATGGCTTTGATGCCGATGTTCTGGGGACGAGAAGCCATGTCGGGCGTACGATTGGGTTTTTCAAGTGAGGATTAACGGTAGAATGGTGTCGAGAAAAGAGTCGGTCGGGAGGAAAAGGGAGTGGAGGGCACTCTCGCTTTTGGAGGGGTAGATAAAGTTAGCGCAAGATCCCATGTTATTTCAACAGCCATTCACCGCCTGTTTCGCCATCGTTGTGGATAGGCCCCAGTTTTCCCAACATGCACGTTGTTGGGCATATGGTGATGGCCTGGGAGGTGAGGTGGCAGCAGGGGGGCGTTCGTACCTAAGTTGGGTATCTTTGTTGTCCGCAGGAAGGTTTGGTGTGGACGTGTTTGTCTTTGTTGAAGGTGTGGAGGTGGGAGGTGGGAGGTGTTCGATGAAAGATTGGAGACAGGACGTGGGCAGTTGGGGTGTGGGAGTGGCAAGAGCCGGAGTTCAAATATTAATGGGGAACAATAAGTTGAGCCGATCAGACAATAGTTCCTCGCCCGGATCTTACGTGGGCTTGCCGGGGGCCAGAAGAAAAGACGCAAGGTCAAGCAGGTCGAGAATGTCACGGACAACAGCTCGGCACGTTGCCTGTGCCCACGTCGCTCCCCTCGAGTGGTTTGGCTCCGCTGTGGGCTTTGTGCCGGAGCAATGAACCTGGCAGATCTAATCTCTCTCTAGTGGTTGTTTTAGGCTAGATTGAAGAACATGGATACCTCTGCAAGCAACGCAACACCCCGTTGTCGGACGAGTATTTGCGATTTCGTCACTTGTGGTGTTTCTGTCCGAACTTGTTCTCCGATCCCCATCCATTGCCCCAAAAATTTCCAAAAAAAATCGTCATGGGCCGCAACGTCACATGCTCCCGCCCTCAGCTCGATTTTTCTTCCAGAGTCTCACAGCACACACAGTACAACCTAAAAGTGACTTTGGAAAGGGGGATAATCCATGGAGTAGTGGCAAGGAGAGACAACCTTTTGGGCCCCATCTGCAACCCGATCTGGTGCAAAAAGGCCCCACTGACGTCCCAACGCGCCATTCGTCAGCGGGACATAGCGGGTCACAGTGGGTCTCACCGCTGCAGGAACCGGTCTCCGTCGCTCGAGCCGCCAGTTGTTCCCCTCCACCATCAAAATGCCCCAGGTGGTGTCGCGGCGTCGATGTGGCTGAGTAACGTGACAATCTTCAACCGTCCTTCGATTTGTGATAGAACCAGGTTCCCAATCCCGCTTCGTCAGCGGCCGCCAATGATCGCCGGTCTAGATTCTCAGGTACCACAACGACATTTCCATGAGGGCATTCAGACACGCAGACCAGCAGGAGAGCAAAACTGCCTATGCAGGATGGATGGTATGTCGGTAACTTTGGATTTTGATGTCCATGGTGGGTGTGCTTCGGCATTCTGATAACCGCAATCGAGTAACTCGCTAAGCAGTCTCGATTACATCGCTGCAGCATCTGGCTCCCGGGTCTAGCCTCGTTGCCATCAAAATCTCGCATACAGATTGAGTAAGGTAGGTAGGTATCTAAAATTCCGCCTGTGTAAAGAAAACCAAAACACCAAAACAGTCTCCAAACCCCAGAACTCCGCTCTATGCAACCCGCCAAGCGCAACCCTAAAGCAGTAGGTAACATGCTCCCCAAATCGCTGACGCCATCCAGATTACGTACCCATGATCTGATAATCAGGGGTCTGGGAAGCCTCAGTGCGCCTCGACCACCCGATCGGCAGCCGCTTCTGACGGCGTCCCATACCCTGAATCAGCGCCCGGGGTCCGTAACGGCAGCTCGGCGGCCTCCTTAGCCTTGACCGTGTCGACGGTGATGGTCGGGACGACGACGACAGGCTCCACCTTGGCTGCGGACGCGTCCTTCTCTTCCAGCTGGACAGGGGCGGCGGCAACGTCGGCGGTAGCAGCCGGAGGAGCAGCCGGGGAAGCGGAAGGATTAGCAGGAGCAGACTTGCGCTTCTTCTTCGACGACTTCTTCTCCTCGCGTTCCGACTCGGAGGACTCGGACTCGGCCTCAGACGACGAGGGCTCAGAACCGGACTCCTCCTCTCCGCTCCCGGCGTCCTTGCTCTTGTTCTTCTTCGACTTCTTCGAAGCCCGCTTCTTCTTCCCCCCCTTCTTCTCCTTTTTCTTCTCCTTCTCCTCCTCCTCCTCCTTCTTCTTCTCCTCCTCCTCCTTAGCCTTCTTCTCCGCCTCGCGCTTCTCCTCGGCCTCCTTCAGCTCCTTCTCCTTCTTCTCCTTCCGCGTCGCCACCACCCACTCCTCGGCGCCCGCCACCGCTTTCTCCGGGTGCCGCTTGTTCTTAAGCAAGAACCCTTGGATCTCGGCCGGCGAGAACTCGTGCGCGGGAATCTTGGCCGCGAACTCGCCCGCCAGCACCTCGACCCGCGCGATGGTCTCGGCCTTCTTGCGCGCCGCCTCGGCCTCGGCCGCCTCCCGCTTTCCGCTCCTCCTCCGGCGTCAGCCGCGGCACCGCCGCCTTGATGCTGCGCTCGAGCTGGAACAGCGCCCGCGAAGACTCAACTCCGGCGTCGACGGCAGCGGTGCTCGCTGCTCTCTGGGCTGCCGGGGGTGGGCGCGTCGTCGCCCTCGAGCGGCGCGTAGATGGCCTTGAAGATCTGCGAGGTCATGGATGTGTCGGCCCGGTCGAACTTGACGATCATGTCGACGCGCCCCGGGCGGATCAGCGCCTTGTCCAGTTTCTCGATGTGGTTGGTCGTCATGATCAGCATCTGCTCTCTTGCGAGGCCACGCCGTCCAGGATGTTGAGCAGGCCCGAGAGCGAGAGCCGGCCCGTCACGGGCGGGGTGGGCGTCGTTGGCGACCCGGGCTGCGCGGGGCGTGTGCTGCTCGTGGTCGTGTCGTCGCTGTCGTCGCTGGCGGTGGCGGCCGGGGCTTGGGTCCCGTCCTCGCGCGTGTGCGTAAGGCCGGCCGTGTCGATGTCCTCGAGGAGCACGACGCAGCGGCGCGGCAGCTCGGCGAAGAGCGTGGCGAGGTTCTCCTCGTTGGCGGTGACGGAGCTGAGGCTGACGATGTAGATGCGCATCTTGAAGAAACCGGCCAGGGCCAGGCTGAGCGAGGACTTGCCGGTGCCTGGAGGGCCGTAGAGCAGGTAGCCCCTGCGGTAGGGGATGCCGCGGTTGGCGTACCAGCGCCGGGTCGTCGGGTTGAGGTAGTCGGTCACGTCGTCGATGAGGTCCTGCTTCAGCTGGTCATTCAAGATGACGGTTGAGAAGGGGCGCGATGTCCGCGACATGCAGCGCTGCCATTGCGGCTCCGTGCTCCCGGCCTTGGAAGTGCCCCGGTAGATGGCTGTCTTGGCTTCGTCCTTCTTAAGGAACGCGTCCCGTGCCTCGTGTAGGAGCTCCTTGAGAATGGCCGGGTTCCGACCGAAGCACGAGATGGAGATCTCCTCTCGCTCGCTGGCCGTCATGTATGCGGACTGTTGCTGGTTCTGGGTCCGGCGGAAAGAGAGGATGCGGCCCTTGTAGATGAACCAGTGGCTGCCGAAGGTGGGCGTGTAGGCGAGGGCCTTCTTCTTCTGGCCCATGGAGCCGCCTTCTTCGCCCTCCTCGCCCTCCTCGTCATCGTCAAAACTCCGCCATCTGCTCGCAGGGTTAGTTAGGCTATTCGTCTTAAAGGCTGAAAAGTTATTGGGTAATCACATACAGATACCAAGACCGCTATCAGCCATGTTAGTCGTCATGTCCGTCAACGGTTTGGGGTAAACAGGTAGGGTGAGTTACTTACACTATTGAGGTTTGTGTTGACAACAAATCGCCTCGCACCCTGAGCAAAGCGCTGGTTGGACACCCAAGCCATCAAGTAGTTGAAGATCTCATCATCGACGCGGACATCACACCGTCTTTACAAAACATGGTCAGCTGGGCTCCGCAAAAGGGGCATGGTTCGGGGTTCAACATACGACATCAGATGGGATTCGGCCAGGTCTGAAAAGTAGTCGCTGAAATAACGCCATGCGAAGGTGAGCCCACCGAAAAGGAGGACCAGCGGGATGTAGAGGTTCAGATCAATATGAAGGTATTTGTTGAGAGCGCTGGAAAAAACTATAAATTTGTGTCAATTAGTTCTTCATTTGGTTTGTGTTTGTGCTTGTGTTTTTGTCTCTTGTTTTTAACAAGAGGAGGGGCACCCGCGAACAGGGGTCGTTCACTACCTAGGCATGGGCAGTTTCAACCGTAGGCTCAAAAAGAAGACATACCAGAAAATCCCGGGAAGAAAAGGTCCAAAAGGTAACTTTGAGGAACACCCGTCGTCATTCCCTCGCCCCCGTCGGGGGAGGGTGGGACAGCGTCCATGGCAAGTGATTCAAGTAGCCGGGTAATAGAATACGAATGATAACCTGTTGGGAATACGGCGAAAGGGCTGACAGGGAAGGGATCTGAAAACTCCGAAGAATACAGTTTGAAGGTAGGTTCCTCTAGGCCGAGGGGAAGGCTGTTCTCTTATTTGTACTGAGGCACGAGCCCTGGTCGATGGTGGGTGCTTGCGTGGAGGATTCTTGGTGCGTGGGCTGCAAGGCAGGTCTGGGGTTGATCTAGAACCGTGGTTGGCTACTTCGTTTGCTCGTCCTCAGTCACGCTTATTTATCTCCACAACTGAAGGCAGAAGCATGGCGATTATGGCCCTCTTTTGAGCAAGGTTCTGTGAGGCAACCCAGCTCATCCGATTTCATAGGTACTTGGCTACCTAGGCAGGGGTTGTTTGGTTGGCTGTTGGAATGTAGGTACAGACGCACACAGCCGCCCATCGACAATGCATTTCGGCGGCATTGCATGAGTGCATTCCGGTCCAATGGCCCCCAAACCCTCCGTGGGACTCCGGCCGGCGTCGCCCGTGCTGCCACAATCTCGGCGGTCATCCCGAGAAAACGGTTCCCTCCGATGTGGTGCCCTGAGCCACAATCTCCACATGCGCTTGTAATCGCAGGATGAGGATCACGAGGAGGACGGTGACGTGGGCAGCCAGTCACCCTCAGCCTCCCCCACAAAGATGGAAGTGGTGGCGGATGATGTGCCGGCCGCTGCCTGGTCACCAAGAAACGGAACCCCACAATGGAGATCTTCTGAGGACGTAGTCATGCCCGTTTAGTGCTCGCCGAGCTACCTAGCATTTGAAATGACTGACTTCGGCGGAAGGCTGCGCGCGGTGGGACTCGCGCGGGTACTGTTCCTAGCCAGTCGACCGAGTTTGTGGCATAACATAAACTGTCGGGTGTAAGGTTTCTAGGTTGCCAGGCACCATCGTATATGGAAGGCCTTGGTTGTGGGTGGGCCAGGGATTTTCTCAGGTCCAGTTCAATCGGGTTCGATCAGGCCAAGAGATGCGCTGACGCTGCTGAGTGAGGTGCATCGAACGGAGATGTAGGTGGCCCAATCAAGGTCTGATCAAGCTGCATCTGCATGATGCCCGTCGAGGCGCGCCACAGGAGTGGGATGTCTTTTCTTGAGAAGAGACATTAAGATTGGACGTTGTCCGAGGCGGTGAGGCGTCTGGCAGGCAAGTCAACCAGCGTGGCGGCGGGGCAAGCGGCCTGAATGGGGCACGTGGGGTCGACCTTGCAGCCAGCCCTATAGGGAAAAGTACAGGGACCGAATTGGCATCCCTGCCGGGCTGGCGTTGATTCCAGATTGCAGTGATTTAATTCTTCTCTCAGAGCTTAACGACACAGGTTATAGACAGCTATTTACCTGCCTGAGGCTCTGGGATCCTTTGTCTCGCCCAAACATGAATTGAGTTTTGTGCTTCCCGTCTTAACGTGGATTTGTGTCACGGTTTTCCTGTATAAATCGTTGAATTGGGTTCAACTAACAGCACCCCACAATTTGGAGGCAAAGACCGGAACCTGCTCCTTTCTTTTCCTCTCCGTTTTTCTTCTAAAGTACCGCACTTACAAATTCCTCTTCGATCAGACCTTTATTGATCCTCTTTTTGAGCCTCGTGTGAGTTTCCGAAGCATCTTTGGCCGCTGGGCGATCCGATTGGTAATTAGTGGGGCAAATTCTTCAGAGCCTCGTCCCAGGAATAACTTTGCGAACCACAGGGACCTCAGATGGGCCGGCCGCAGAGGCGGCTGCCTCATCCCGAAAAGAGGGTTCTGTGCCGTCCCGCGCAGCGCCTCAGACGAAATGCGGTCATCAAAGTAGGACGAGGCATGCTTCACCGTGGCGCAGCCCAAGGCCGGGACGGATGGTGGCCTACCCCGCGTTGGCCGACCGAGCGCCCCACCACCACCGGAGGGGACGGGCGAGCACACGAGCGGCGAGTCGAGGAATCGAGGGATCGAGTTTCCGTTCGCCAAGGAGGGCTCCCTCCGCTTCGTGCCAATGGCACGGAGGTGTGTATACGACACCCCGGTTGCAACGGGACGTTCATACCTGCGTCGGCTCGAAGCCTAGAAGCCTAAAAACGAGGGCGCCAATACGCGCCTACGCCGTGACTCACCGTCACAGCGTCAACTATCACGCGATGTGAAGCGCTGTGTTCGCGGCGTGACGACCGGGGTGCGGCACGGATGTGTATTCTTTGGGGGTTAGGGTTACTTACAACCAGACACACATGCAACGTCGGGTGCCGGCTGCTGTTGTGGTTGTTGGACACAATGTTTCCCGCGGAATCTGTGAGTTATACCCGGTCGAGGGACAAGTGCAAGGACTCCCAGAACGACTCGGTAAGGACTCGGAATCATCAGGTGTGAGCCAAGCCTGAGTACAGCCAAAGAGAAGTCATATCTCATTATGGTAGATCAATCTTCTGCCGCCAAGAAGAACAGGACCAAATTGAGGGACCGATGAAGGCGATATCTGACCCAACAAGAACTATCCGTTCTGTTTGCCGGATACTATGCCGATAATGGATGGATGATGTTACACAGGAACCTCGCCTGCCCGAAGCCCGACCTGAAACGCCGTATGGGAAAACACCAAAGAAACGCCTTGAATGAACCGTGCAACAAATATCGCCCGAAGTGACCGAACTCCAAAATCAATCATCAACCGTCCACAAACACCTGGACGCCGCCGCGGCCGGGTACGAAGTGGCCTCCAGGGGGTGGTGGTGGCGGCGGTGGCATCCCGCCAGGTGTCGGCTGTGGTGGAGGGGGCATAGGAAAGCCGGCCGGGGGCATCGGATGCGGAGAAGCTTGTTGCGGGTAGCCATACATGGGCTGGAAGGCACCCGGCGGAGGTCCCTGCTGGGGCGGCATTGGCATGCCGGGCTGCATCCCAGGATGCATACCGGGATGCATTGGGGGATGCTGGTACGCGCCGGGGTTCTGGCCGCCGTAGTCATCGGCGCTACCGTCGCTGCTGCTGTCGTCGTAGTCGTCATCGTCATCGTCATCGTCATCGTCGTCATCGACCCTGGCATTCCTCCCCCAGGTACCGGTGGGAGGAGGAGCGTTGCGCTGGGAAGCGCGAGAGGTTCTGCCTTTCTTTGAAGATTTTTGTTTCCTGGGGGGAGACGAATATGACACCGAAGTTGGCTCCTCCATGTACCAATAAGGAGCGGTAGCTTCGACTAGATAAACCTGGCTCGCTGCGCTGGACCACGAGAACATGGAGCTGCCGGAGCCGCCGGAGCCGGTGCTCCGGGCATCGAAATCCTCGTCGTAGTAGCGGCGGACGCTCTTCGCTTTCCGGGGGTCGCGGCCACAGAAGTAGATCAGGGCTTTGACGGACCGGCTGTTGGGAAGGCGGATCTCTTTATAATCGCCGGAGGCCCGCGAGCTCGAGCCGGAGCCGCTTGAGCGACCTGACATGATGTAGGTAAATGGGCTCTTGAAGGGTATGGCTGTGTGGTGCTGTGTGGTCCCCCAATGTGGATAACAAACAACCTTGCTGTGTTATCGAAGATAGGGCAAGCTGATGTTGGTTTCGCGCCGAGGCAAGACTGTCCTACAACCAATTGGGACAGGGTAAACGTGTAGGGCAAAGGTGTAGGGCGTGAGATGAGGATAGTGTTCTCGTGTGAGTTTAGAAACAAAGAAAAGGAAGAGAAGATCGACAAAACCAAGCCGGGCGTCGCCTTGAAATATACACAATACAAACGGAAGCGCGCTCGGGGCGTTCAGCTTGCCAGTGTGATAAAAGCAGGCGCCGCATGCCCGCTTGAGCCGGGCACAGCGGGCGCGTCCAAGCTGCATGGTATCCATACTTAGCTCGACGCACCTAGTTTGTAGCGCCGAGGTGCTGGTTTCACACAGCTGAGTCAAGGTCCCAAAGTAGAGTGAACAAACAGCAGTCCAACCTCAATTGCACGAGCTGCGGGCATTGCAGCATCGCAGTCTGGTTGGCAATGAGTAGATCCAACTCCATTGATTCGTCCCACCACGGCGGAGCCTCGCCATCGACATCGGAAGGTGCGTTTGGCACAGAAGCCGGGCAATGATCGATTGGTGATCCGTCTTTCAGCAGGCCCTATCTCCTGCATCAGCCACACGCCCTGCTTTGGAGGGACAAAGTCTCTGAGAGGTCGGAGGTCTGCAGCCAGTTCCCATCTGCATCACAGCTTGGCGGTCAAGATGCGGGCACCCGTGCTGCGACCATCTCTTGCCATCCGCTTTTGGAAGGAAAATCTGGATGTACTCGGATGCACAGGGACACGAACTTCATGTGTGCGAAGGCCTGTCTCCGTCAAGATGGGTATGCCAAAGCTCATGGCATCAACGCCGGGAGGTTGGAAGTGGGGCTGTATGGTTCCGTTCCTCAGGTCACACTGCGCGGGGTCAAGGCTACAGGGCACCGGGATATGCGTCGAGAAGACGCGGGGCAAATTCATTTGGATGCCTTGCTGCACTTGCAGGCAGCCTCGTGGAAAGTCGAACCGGGCAAACCATGTTGTCGCCTTGATAGGTTTTGGAGAGGTGAAAGTTTTTGGGATGGTGGTGACGGGTTGGAGTGAGGCTGCGAAAACAAAACGATTTTGCCAATTAAGGCCTGGACGGCACACCTTTTCGGCTCGGGAGGGTGGGCGACGGCGAGGCCACCGAGGATGGTTGGTCTCCATTTTTTACGCGCCCTCGGGTGACTGCTGTGTGACTGAGGAAGCATGGGAGACTCGAAATTGGCAGGCGATCGAAAGCGTGCTCGAAGGTCATGGTTCGAGTTTGGTCACTGTTCTTTGTTAATTGCGATGGCATCAATCGGCGAACTTCCTACCCATCAAAAGCGACTCCAATGTCTAACTAGTGCTGCGTCGTAGGTGTTCTGTCTGCTGCATTTTGTAACGTGAGCCTCACAATCGCAAGTTTCATATGATATTTACATTGACAGAAGATCATGCGACTTTGCTGCTTAACACTGTTGTTCTTTAAGAGAACGTCCGATGAAGAAGAGAGTGATCAGGCTTGAATGAACAAAGAGTCCACTGGCCAACTTGCCGACGGGATCCTCTTGCTTCTACAGTGCGATTCAGTTTAGATTTGGCGCTCAGGCTAGCGGAGCGGTAAATGCCGTTACCCCACAAAATGTCCGAATCCATCTCTTCCATGTTTCCATGGCAGGTCTGGAACAGAATGCTCTTGCTTTTTTAAATTGAGAATGAATTGGTGGTATGGAACTACCGAGCGACGTTAGGGTTTGTGTTTTTCAACTTTAGCACTCATCTCGAACATTCCCGCTTCAGAAGAATGGCCCAAAAAATGACGCAGATGCACCCCAGGATTCCATCTCGGTCGATCGGCTGCAGCTCGCTTCGACGCTAAATATCTGCGACACTAGTGTAGCTCGTCTTCGTGTATGTATGTACATACTCCATACCTGACTTACACAGTAAATCGATGCATGGGCAGTGCTCCCCATTGAGAGCTTGCTAGAATCGATCGACCTCAGTCGCTCGAACAGACTTTTCGGCTCCCAGCACACTCTGTCGGCAAGGTCACGTCTTTCGTTCATAACCACGGAGTCATCCATGTAGCCGCCCGGCTGCACCCTTATATTCCCACCTTCCACCATCTAAATGTAGCCATCGGCTCAATCACCGGCAAATCCCAGGCAAGAGAGAGATTGGCTGGCTGTGGGCCATAGATTGCAGATGCTTGCCGAAGCTATGCTGACTAGCTCTATGCTGCAATGCCGGACGAAAAACGTGCTCTCGAGTCAGATTGACCTCAACAAAGGCCATGGAGATCGGGCGATGGGGTGCGGGGCCGCCTGCATCTTTTGTTCCCCAGCGGCCAATTCAAGGTTCGGCGAGTCTAAAAGAGTCCGTCGGGAGGGATAAGCAGCAACTTGGCGTCACCTCATATGACGCCAAGAGGAGGGCGTTTGTTGGTGTCCGCCCTGACAAGAAATATTTGCGGCGGCCCACCATCACGGCAACAAATTCTGTGGGCGTGCACGGCGTGGAGGCGTTTCGACCTGCTCATCTTTCCGCATCTGATCGCCACGCCAAGCAGTCCCCCGGGGGTCCGGTCAGACCCACCGAGCAACATCCCACCAATCGCGGTGCCCGATCTTGAGTTTCGAAGTTGAGTCCAGACTGCTTGGTGTCCCTGAACTATCCTCCGAGATCCTCTGCGCTTTGCGACTCATCTGGCTGTTCTCTCTCAACTCGGCCCTATTGGACCCGTTAACTGAATTCTTGGAATCTTGGAACGGGATGTGCAGATCCACAGCGGAGATTCACCGTTGCTCCCCCATTTCAGCCTGAGCACCTGCCAATCACCATCACTGCGACCCCCCGCCAAACACCCCCGGGGAGACATACACACAAGAGCCAGCACGCTTCCGGCAAACCATTGTGCTGAGAGAATCAACTACGGCCCTGCGAAAACCCGGCACGAACCTGTGAACCTACCGTCGACTAGCGAAAAGAGGGGAATTACCGGCCATCGACGACCCCGTGGGGAGCCCCCTCTCGCCATTGGAGTCGGCGGCTGCCAGAACCCATCTCTCCGAAGCCTGGACATGTACCGGTGTCTCGGGTGAAAGGCGCGAGCCCAGGTTATGGAGTCGAAGGACAGCAAGGGCGGTGATCTGGAGCGGAGAAGGTCAATTCGGGCGTCCGTGAGGGAATCGGTCGATGATGGAGACCGAGAACACGATCTCGCCCTAGAAGGCATGGTTACAGATGGGTTTCGGCCGACCGATGCCAGCGGCGCAACAGCGCCGGCAACACCATCCCTCACCTCGGCCTCGTCGACGACCCTTTTTTCCGGAGAGAGTTCGACGTCCCCCTCGACAAGTGACCCTTCTTCCACGCCGACAAAACCCCCGCTCCCACAGTACACATTGTTTGTACGACCAGAGGCCGATGCGCTAACCCGCCAAACGACGAATTCGACCGGATCAACCGTTTTCGTTCCCCATGATAGTCCATATCAAGGGCCGTCTAGCGCATCACATCCCTATCAGATGTATCCGCAGAATGTGAGAGTGGCGAGAACATTAAGTATGGCAACGTCATCGACGATGCCTATGTCCGAATCATCGTACCGCGGGCCGAGGGGGCCGAGCCACCCTTACGGCCTCTATCCGCAAAGCGATGCCATCGGGCCAGATGCAACCCTGACGAGTGCTATCCCTCTTGGCTTCCGCGGCCTCCCGGATCAGTACCAGCGGCGGGTAGGGCCCGAAGGTGAAGAGGCCGCGGATATGATCGGCCCTGGAGGTCACACCGAACAACTACCCCCCTACACTAGGTATCAGAATGACGCATATGCGCATAAAGCAGCAACGGCCAACGACCCCAACGGTGCAGTGCAGGGCGCGGTAATCACTTCACCAGTTCTCACAACACCTGCATCCACCATCCCGCCCATCTATGGCGCTGGGGGCATTGGGTTAGCTACAACCAATCCCGAATTTGAGTCCACAGATGACTTGGACTCCCCGAGGTCACGCCACTCGACCCGCAGCTTCACGTCGGATGACAGTCAACGGCGGATCAGGGTGGGCGATGAGGACGTATCAGAAAAAAGGAAACCGCCCAAGAAATGGCAGGCCTGGATGCGGCGAAAGCTCTGCGGCATTATCCCATACTGGGCTATATGCTTGACTGCTATCATATTGGTCGTGTTGTTAGTGGTGTTGGGCGCCGTGGTTGGCACGGTCGTAGGTAACAAACAGAGGCGGCCACCGCGAAAGGGTGGGGTCTGGTAAGTGGTGATACCCCATAAGTTCTATACACTCTCCTTTACCTATGCTAACCTTGCTGCCCTAGGGAGCCGCCATATGACGCCACGCCCATCCCGCCGCCACCGGATCTCCAGCCCTTACCCACGGGTACCTTTGGACTTCCGTTGTTGACCAACCGCATCTCCAGCACCTGCTTCCAAAATCCCACTCTGTCACAAGCATGGAGCTGCCACCTTGTCATCTCGGGCATGACTCTGAGTGTCGCGAAGCATGAGCGCGGCTACCACGCTTCACTGGATTTTAACCGCTCGTATACGATGATGGACGGGGTTTACTCTTATGGGGAGCAGCCCCCGATGATCGAAAAGTCGTTTGAGCTCGAATTAGTGGAGGACAAGTTTGAGCCTAGCCGCGGCCCCGCTTGGTTTAAGATGGTCTCGTACAACAAGACGGTAATTCTACCTGAAGGGTGGCTCGGCTCATCAGGCGACGATGCAGAGGCTCAGAAGAGGAGCCGCCACGCCGCCACGATTGGCGCGGGCATATCGAACTTCAAGCGCAAGGGGATCGCGCAGCCCGGCGATAAGCCCTGGGTCTGCAGCTGGCCGAACACCTACCTCGAGCTCTTCATCTACGCCCAGCAGAACTCGAGCTTCTCAAACTGGCCGAAGCCACTGTCGGTGTCCATGTCCTCGGCCCCTTCAACATCATCTGCGACACCACCCCCAACTTCGGCCACCGCTCCGGTCGATGGATCCGGGTCTTCCTCGGAAAGCTCATCCCCATCGCCCAGCGACCCCAGGACCGGTGGCCCAAACAACCTAAACATGCCTTACAACAACCCCCCGCATAATTTCCCTCGCTCACCCCCCAGCTCAACACCAGCGTCCATGGAAACGGAACACACGGCGACCGAATCCTCCACGGCAACATCGTCAGGCCCGTACGGACCGATTGACACGGGCCATGGTTTCCCGTCGCTGCCGGCGCCGTACCCGCGAGTCATCAAGCTCCAGGAGCGCCGCATATCGACAGAGGGCACGCCCCGCGCCCGGTGTACGCAAGTCGAGATCCAGGGGCCTGACCAGAAGGCCCGACCGGTGCGAGGGCCCGGCGGGAAGCCCGTCATCGTGGAGATTGAGGAGACCGACCCATTCATGCCGCCCGGGCCGCCGGGTCCGGACGGGATAGATGATGTTAGTAAGAGGGCGCTGCAGGGCTGGGACCAGGCGGTGGGTGTGCTCGGGAGGGATGAACCTGGGGGCGTTGGGGTGCCGGATATCAGCCCGTGCGGATGCATGTGGTTTTTGACGTGATCTCACTAAATGGTGTTGGGGCTGCTTTTTACGGTTCGGGAGCGACTTCATCTGAGTCCGTTTTTTTGCCTTAGTTTATTTTCTTGGAAACTTCAAATTGGAGAAGGGGACGGTTAGGTAGTGGGCGTTTGTTTAGTAGGATGACTGCCCGGTAAATGAGCATATGTATTACAAGGACGGGGCATGCATGATGTATTTATTGCTATATTCAAGCGATAGCAACACGCTTGGTTACACATGTTCTTTTGATGGAAGCTCTCGTCTTCCCTTCCCTGATGCTAGTATTAGTGGGGTGGACGTATGTACTAAAATGTGCTTTAGCTCGTTAACTTTTAGGTTCTTAATTGCCGAAACAAATCGCGGAGCGCATGCAACGGTGCCGGTCCCTTGCAGGCTAGTTCAGGAACAGGCACATGGGAGCTGAGCCCCCCATGCCTCAGCCGCACTGGGGTGGAGATCTTTTCTCTCCTTTCTCATCACCACTCTTCTTTTTCCTGTAGGTGTGTCACTGCTACTGTGTCACGGCAGCCGCCACCATGGCAGACTCGGGGCACTCTCCAACCGATATCATCACGTATATCGGCGTGCCACTTGTAGGTTCCATTTCCCGGCATGGTTATTACTTGTAACCGAAAGTACACGACTAATAGATCCCAAAAGGCCGTGCTTGGTGTCTTACCCATCCTTTACAACACCATCGCGACGCTGGTGGCTTTATCACGCATCAGGCGCATGCTGCGACACAGCAAGCTGACGGCCCTCACTCGCAGCGATGTTGTCAACCGCGTGATCGAGGTCGAGCTGCCGCGCTATGCCGTGCGCCCCATGGACCGCCTTGCCGACCGCGACGAGTACTGGACACTCTCGCGGCACCCCTCGAGCATCCCCGGCGGCAGCTGGACCACCTTCAACTGGCGGATGAACGTTATCGGGCTCAACACGCAGCGTGTCGAGTACGCTGACCAACTGAGACAGCCCCAGGTCGAGGTGGCCCTTGATGAACTTGTCTCTTACTTGCTAGATCTCGGCGCCCAGCCAGATCCTAACGGATGGCGCCTCCTGCGGTCGTCGGGCCTGTGGACGCCCGTGGGGTGCACTCTGATGCGCGCCCCGGATGGGCTGAACAGCGCCTTGACCATCGCACCACTCGATGGCTCGGACGGACACCTTAGCCTAGCCGTCACCTGGACAGGGCCATGGACGACGCGCGACCACTCCCACCTCCCACCATACTGGGTGCGTCTCTACCCGCCACCGCCCCCGCGACCGGCAGCAGTCGAGGAGGACCCTTCGACAACAGAACCAGAAGACGGAGCCTCTTCTAAATCCGCGACTGAACGAAGAGATTCCAACGAACCACTCCAGAAAGCGACATCCACCACCACCAGCCTGCGCAAACCCTCCCTCAACTCCGCCCAGCAAGAAGGGGCCTCCAACGCCCGCCAACCCATCACCTGCCAAATCTCCTCGGACGGCATCGTCACGGCGCTCTCCCGCCCCGACAACAACAACCCCCTCCCCCAGGAACACGACCACGACCAAACCCTACACATCGAGCACCTCCGCATCCGCAGCACCACCACCACCGGCACGTGGTTCGCCAGCGCGGCGACCGCCTACGGCACCTCGAGCCAGACGATCCTGTGGAACTACAAGATTCCGGACGGGGTGCTAGGGTTCGCGCGGCGCGAGACGGTGCCCTGCGGCGTGCTGGTGCTGCTGGGCGTCGTCGACGAGTCCGCCACGCCCGAGTGGGCGTCGGCGTCGGCGGCCACGCTGGCGGACGATCGTGCCAGGCAGTTGGACGAGTTTAGTCGGAGGGCGAGGGCCCAGAGGGAGGCGGTAATGGCGGAGGCCAGGATGAGCCCGGCGGAGAGGGCGGTTGCGCAGAGGGAGAGGGGGATTAAAGAGGCGGAGGGGCGGTTGTGGGATAGTGAGTTTTTTTTTTTTTTTTTCTGTTTTCTTGTTTTGTTTTCTTGTTTTGCCCAGTGATGGAGGCTAACAACAGTGCAGTGCGTGAGAGGCAGAGGGTTGAGGCGCAGCGGCGGGAGGCGCGCTTGATAGAGGCGCTGCAGAGCCCCAAGTGGGATGCGAAGCTTGTAGCCGAGCATAGCTTGGCGTGGTTGGTGAAGAACGGGGAGGTGGATGAGCGGGTGGAAGGGGTGAAGGAGGCCGTTGGGGGCGTGCTGCACCGGATGGTCCTAGATGGGCAGTTTGCGACGAAGCTCTGCCAGATGTTGGACCTGTGGAAGGCTTGGGCGGAGAACGCGGGCATGCGGAGGTCCGATCTAGAGGCGTTACAGGGTGACCAAATCACCTTTGCGTATGCCACGCTGCTGGTGGCTATCATCAAGGATACATCGACGGCCCTCGAGGGAACCGTGGCGATGGACCTCCAGGAGTGTCTGCGGATGTGGAGGACGGTTAGGCTGGGGTAATTCCCACCCAGAATGTACTTCAGTTGTTAGATTATCAATGCCCCTAATGTATATATGCACATGTACAATACACCTTTTATATCATCACACACATACAATACTATCCTACAAACCAAGCCCCCAGTCCCATCAACCAACGTTTTGCACCCCCACAAAGTAATTTCCCACCTTCTCACTCCCCCTAACCTCTTTCCACCCAAACCCAGGCACAAACACCACCCCCATCACCCTCGGCACCCCCCACACGCCGCCCTTCCCCGCAAAATACGCCCTCAGCTCCTCCTCATTAATATACTTATACCAATCATGCGTCCCCTTGGGCACCACCCCAAGAATATCCTCCGCCACCAAGTTCGTCGTCACCCAACTCGTCCAGGTCCTCGCAATCGTACTCAACACCAACCAACCCCCCGGGCGCACAAACTCGCCCACCCGGTCGAGGAACGCCGCCGGGTAGTCGACGTGCTCGACCACCTCGAACACGCTGACCACGTCGAAGCGGTCGGCCGGCGCCGCGGGAAGCGGCAGCGACTCGATCGTCTCGCTGAGGTAGGTGAGCTTGCCGCCGCGGCTGAGGGACGGGTCACGCTTTGCGTGGGCGCGCGCCACGGCGAGGATCTGCGGGGACGGGTCGATGGCCGTGACGGAGGCCGTGGTGGGCAGGCGCGCGGCGGACTCGGCAAAGATGCCCCCGCCGCAGCCCACGTCGAGGTAGCGGAGGGGGTTGGGGGTGGGGTCGGGTTGCGGGGAGGAGGCGAGGCAGGCCTGGATGAAGTCGTGCCGGTGCGGGTTCATCAGGTGTAGGGGACGTGATGGGCCGTGCGGGTCCCACCAGGAGGAGGCGAGGGCGGAGAAGTGGGAGATTTCGGTTTCGTTCACGGAGGAGGAGGTCGGGGATGAGGGGTTGTGGTGGGCGGGCGGGGTGGTGCTAAGCTTTCGTGATGGAGGTTGAGCTCGAGATTGTTGGGGGTGGAATTGTTGGAGCCATGGGGCCGGCCTTGAGGCTGGGTGCGCCGCGCGGAGGGCCCTCGGGGTGTGCCGTAGCGATGATCGCATTTCCTGCTATGAATTGATGTTCGGGGGCATTTGGCCGTGCCGCGCGGATCGGATCTTGGGTTCGTCTAAAATCGAGGCCGGCGGTTTTTAGAGGGCCGCTGCAACAAGCCGCAGGGTTACAGCAGATTCCCAGCCGCGCGGGGTTCTAGAACAGTTCTAGCGCCTCCCCCAGGCCCCGTCCCATGCCCCGCTCCCGACGGCCAGGGTCTTGTCTTCAGGGTCCGGTGCTATCCCGAGGATCTCAAGATTGCCGAGTTCGTGGATGAGGAAGATGTTTGTCAGCGCCAGTCATCCGTTGGTGATTGAATGAGCTGATTGAAAACTTCACTCTGTAATCAAGTCGATCATGTTAGTCATACCACAGTTTGATTCATCGGGCCGTTCCGTTCGGTGTGCGATCTCTTTCAGCATTTCCCAATCGTACCGAGTGCTTGTATGTATGTCCCGGTAATACGTGGGCACATTTTACGGGTTCCCCTCGGTCAATCCGAGACTTCGGCATCTATCACCCCACCAACACCGAGGGCGTTGTTCCCAGCGGAACCATCCCCGTTCTTGACATTTGATTCCATATCCTTCCCTCTTCTTGAGAAACCGTCTTTTGGTGCCATCTACTTCATCCGAACAACATCAGATGGGAGCTGAGTAATCCTTCCGGAGCCACACTTGCCGAATTCGCTTTCATCGCAAGCGCAATCGCAATCGCAAATTCGCCCTTCTCTTTTTTTTTTCCAGCCAACACCAACACCACCCCGCCGCCGACACATCACCACCTCTCCTCCCGCCAAACCGACAACCACATCCCCGATCGCAACCATGCCATCCACTGCCCCCGCCGATCAAATCCCCGCCTCCCAATTCGACTCCATCCCCGACACAATCCAAGCCTTTGGTACGCCCTCCCACCCACCCTTCACCCCCTGACCCCATATAACCCCCCCGCTAACCTCCCCCCCTCCCACCAGCCGCCGGCGAATTCGTCGTCGTCCTCGACGACCCCTCGCGCGAGAACGAAGCGGACCTCATCATCGCCGCCGAATCCGTGACCACCGAGCAGATGGCGTTCATGGTGCGGTACTCCTCCGGGCTGATCTGCGCGCCGGTGCCGGCCTCGCGCGCCGCGGCGCTCGCCCTGCCCCCCATGGTGGCCGTCTCGCAGGACCCGCGCGGCACCGCGTACACGGTCAGCGTGGACGCGGCGGACCCGTCCGTGACGACGGGGATCAGCGCCCGCGACCGCGCGCTGGTGTGCCGCGCGCTGGCGGATGATAAAGCGGGACCGGGGGATTTTCGCAGGCCGGGGCATGTCTTTCCGCTGCAGGCTCAGGCCGGCGGCGTGAGGCAGCGGCCGGGGCATACGGAGGCGGCGGTGGATTTGTGCCGGCTGGCGGGGAAGAAGCCGGCCGCGGTGATTTGTGAGTTGGTGGATGACGGGGCCGAGGTGCCCGGCCGCGCGATCCGGGAAGAGCCCGGTATGCTGCGGGGGGAGGCGTGCGTGGCGTTTGCGAGGAAGTGGGGGTTGAAGGTTTGCACGATTGCGGATATGGTGGCGTACTTGGAGAAGGTGGAGGGGAAGATTGAGGTCAACGGTTCATGAGAGGCCTATCTTTGGGGAGAGGGGATGGTGTTCCTTGTGGGTGGAGCGTTGTGAACGGTATATACGATGGCACATATGGTATTCATACTGCATCTGAGACACACTTTGTGGTGTCTCAAACGAAGGCTTGAGGAGCATGTTTACATTTCACCATGTAAATATTTTTTTTGGGTATATGGCGCACTGCGGCATGGGTCGAGTACAGATAGAGAAAAGGTTTTACAGCCTTGGAGCGATCGATTCGTAACTGTCAACAATATTTTGGTTTGTATGTCGACTAGTACGTCTATGGAGGCCGAAAATACTTTCTCCTTCGTAGGTACTTCTTTACATACCCAATCGATCTCTTTTGTGTACCTGCTCTATGCAATGCCACGAAACACCACACTCGCTTAGCTACCATACTCTTAATACATGGGTTTCGACATGGGCGCAATGACGCCCTGCTTGATGATAACACGCGGCTTCGTGGCGTCCTGGAACGTCTCCTTGGTCGACCATTCAGGGCCGACGGGCAACCGAAGTGACCGTTCATACTGTTGCTGCGACTCGAACGGATGTGGCAGCTGTGAGGCGAGATATTTATCGTTCTGTGCTAAAGGTCAGCCATTGTTCTCGTGGGTTGTACGCCATAAAGGGGGACACAAACCTTCCGGATCCTCTTCTCACTAATAATCACGCCCTTCATCTTGAAGTCCTTTCGGTCCTTCTTCTTGACGCCCTCGACCTTGGTGATGAAGCGGCCTTGGTGTCTCTTCTTGTCCCGGTTGCTTACACCATCACCCACCCAGTTACCCCAGCCAGGGAGAGTGTTGTCGATCTCCTTCTCGTCGTCCTCATGCTCGACTTCGGCCTTCTCTTCTTCAAACTGACCGTGGACATCCTCGCCGGCAAAGGCCTTCTCGAGTAGCTGCTGGTCGCGGATGGCGAGCGGTAGGTGAAGGGCATCGTCTGAGTCTGAGTCTTGAGCTCCGTCGGCCGGGCCACTCGCAGCACCCTGGGGTTTCGGTTTGGGCTTGGGTTTGGTAACCTCTGCTGCGGCGGTGGAAATGTCGACGTCCATGGTCTTAGGCTTGCTTCCTTTCTTGCTCTTGCGAGCAGAAGATCCAACCTGAGACCACCCAACAGCGGTGCTAGATACCGATTCGACTGCAGCCCACCCATCCCCGCCCGTTGGCGCGGAAGACCGCTGCTCGGTCTCAAACTGCGGCGTCGACTCCGCCGCCGCCGTCGGTTTGGCTAGTCCAGGAGCGTCGGCGGTCTTAGCTTTCTTTGGTTGGCTAGATTTCGGAGCAGCCGTGGCATTGCCCATGCCAAACTGCCGGCGACCGATGTCCATCTCCTCCTCATCCGAAGCCCCGTCATCCGAATCGAGCTCGCGACGGAGCGCGGCCACGGCCTCATCGTTCTCTTTTCTGCGCATCTCCTCTCCCCTTTGCATGAACTTCATCTGGAAAAGCTTCGACTTGGGTTCATCGTCATCGTCGTAGGCGGCTGCACGCTCAAGGTCTGCCAGGAGACGGCGCCGGGGGTCGCCTCCTTCAGAGGCATCCGAAACATCAGAACCCTCGTCTTCGTCCTCCGAGCCACCAGCCTGGCCTTCGATGCGGCGACGCAGGTCTTCCTTTCTCCGAGCAATGTCTGTAAGACCAGCGCGGAAATTGTCATCCCACACTGCACGCCCGGCCTTCTTGCCCAGCTTAGCCCATTTGCTCTCTCTGTGGCGGGTACCCATGCGTTCCATGGCCCGCCTCCGGTCCAAGTCTTCGCGCTCGTCGTCCGAATCCAGCTCGCCAGCCGCGAGCGCTTCTTCGCGCTCTGCCTCCTCCTCGCGCTGAAGCTCCTTGCGATGGATACGGCGGTAAGCCTTACTCTTGATTTTCTTGATGCGCTTTGCGCGCGCCATCTCGCGCGAGTGAATCTCCCGTTCGCGCCGGCGCTGCCGCGCGATCTCCTGTTGCTCCGCTTGCGATAATCCAGCTTGTCCCTCTTCGCCTTCCTTCTTCTCCGGCTTAGCGCTCGGCCCAAGGCCGCTCTCCTCCATAATAGCCAGAATTGTCTGCTCCAATTCCGTCCCGGATGTCTTTTGGGTGATGGGCATGAGCTCTCCGCTATCGAGTCCGCGGTCGTGGGCATTTTGGGCGAGAGGGAAGACCAAGTGGTCTGCACGCCGGTTGTGCTTGACTGTCTCGATCCACTTGTCGAGGGTCTCGTTGGTCTTCTCGTAAGCGGCGCTACGGAGGATGCGGTCTTGTTGGCGTTTGGCGAGGGGGACTTCCAATTTCTTGGACGAACCAGGCTTGACGGCCTTCTCTTCCTTATTCATGAGTCTGAGCGACCGCTTCATGTGCGGGTCCTTGACACCCGCAAGGCCAAGATCCTTCAGACTGAGCTTGGTCTTGTTTTGTGTCCCCGGCTCCTCGTCTTCCTCATCCTCGCCACCGAACCCGGCAATCATGCTTTCGAGGGCGTCCAATTTTGAGGGGTCAGCTTCGTCATCCTCCTCGCTCTCATCATCCCCATCAGTCGACTCCTCGTCCTCTTCAGACCCGGACTCTTCTTCGCCTCCCTCTTCCTCCTCATCCCCAGAGAACTGATCCAGCGCAGTCGCAAGGTCAATTGCGTCCGAACCAAGCGACTCCAAGTCATCCTCATCCCCCTCCTCCTCGTCATCATCACCCCCCTTCTTATTCTTCTTCTGCTTCTTCCCCTTCGACGAACTCCCTCCAAATGCATACCCATCAAACCGCTCCTCATCACTCTCCCCAAACGCCTCATCCGAATCAAGCTCAGAATCATCATCCTCGGCGCCCACACCCACATGCCACTCCTCACTATCACTCCCCTCGCCCCCATCCGAGAACCCATCAAAGCCATCCTCATCCCCACCCCCCTCCTCATCCCTCCTCACCCGCTTCTTCGGCCCTGCATCCTCGTCCTCATCAAAATCGTCCTCGTCCTCCTCGTCCTCCCCGCCGCCCCGCTGCCGCTTCTGGGGGTTCGGCCTGTCTTCGAGCCCACGCGTTCGCACGCCGCGTGTTGAGTCGGGAACCTGCTCGGCTGCGAGGGCGAAGGCGTCGAGCGCTTTGGCGGTGGCTTTCGCACGGGACTTTTTGAACGTTTTCGCGTGCGACTTTCCCGGCTTGCTGCCGCCTCCCCCAGAGGTGGGGAGGACGGGGCGGCCGTGGGATTGGCGGCCGGGCATTTTTTGAGGTGTTGTTTTTTGGTGTTTTTTTGGGCGGGCGTGTTGTCTGTAGCCGCCCGTCTTCCGTGTTATTGGGTGCGTGGATGGTGGTGGTGCGATGGACGGCTGGGAGACCGAAATAATTATTTTTCTGCCGGAAAATTGCCCAGCAACTTTTGGGCGGTGAGCTGGGAGGTTTGGAAGTGGGGGTGGAGAGGCTCGGGCTGCGGGGCTGAACCACTGAGCTTGATTGATGCTTGGCTTTCAGGGCCGTTCGTTTGCCTGCCGAGCCGGAATTGATTTGGGGACGGCAAAGCCGCAAAATTTCCCGGAGCTTGACCACTTCGCGATTGAGGGTGCTGACCTGACCACCATATCGTCAACCACGATTACATTCCCACCCATCACTCGTCCCCGAGCCGATCAACTGTCCGTCGACCGCCCAAAATGCAGCCCACCCGCGTGCTCCAGGCCCTGCGCTATCGCAGACTGCGGCTCACCACCAAGGACGTCAACAAGGGCTACTACAAGGGCACAGGCACCGGGTCCACGGGTCGGCACACCAAGCACGGCGGATACATTATCGAGTGGGACAAGGTGCGGACATACGTCTGCCCGCCGCTGGATGGCTTCAAGGTGTGTATTTGAAAGAGGGTAGGGTGGTTGTTGGAGGGGGGATGCTAACGGAAATCCGACATAGCTCACGCCGTTTGTGACGAAAAACATGAGCAGGACGTACGGCAGCTACGAGACCAAACTTGGGCCGAAGGATCCAGCCACTTATCTTGCGCGGTGGAAGGCTGAGAACGGGCTGGATTAAAAAAGCAGTGTTGAGATTAAGTTCATACAAGCTCAACTTGCAGCAATTTTGGGGGGGATTGGTCCCCGGATGGGGAGGCAGAGGCTTGGACACGTCTACCCTGATGGAAGACGCAAGTGTATCATGGATGGCGTTTTGGGGCGTTCTTAACCTGTAGAAATGTATAGTACAACACATGACATCAATCATATCCGTCCACTGTGGATTGAGAACACAACCTGCGACGCACAAACCGCTCCAATTCAAAGGTATCACGACAAACTAATATCCGACGTCTATATGCTCAAAGCTTTGATCAAAACAAGGTACTAAAACACGGACCGTAATCCTGAACGGGCAACCCAAAAAGGGGGGAATTCAAAGCCAATCCAGCAAGGGTATCGAACAAAAGCCACATCCGTTCCCAGCTCAAGCACCACCAACCTTCGTGACCTCTTCAGCAGTGACAAACCTATCCAAGTCAGGCCTCTCGGCAGGCGAGGTAGGCGACAAGAAGGGCGTCATGAAGGGAGTCTCCAGCCCCGGCGTCAGGTCAGCGTCCCCATGTCTGTCCTGCTCCGCCGAGCCCGCAGCCTGATCATCCGAGGCCTTCCCCCACGGAGCCGCGATAAAGCTGCTCGAGTCCGCCGTAGACAGCCGAACCGAGCTCCGATCCATCGGCGACGCAAGCGTGATCATGCTCGCAGTCTCCGGCTCCTTGCGCAGGCTAAACGGCGTCGCCAGCCCGCCGATGATGACACGCTTCCCCGAGACGCCCGTATCGTGAGCATCGTCCGGCGAGAGCAGCCCAGCCGTCCGCGGATACGCCGCTTCTCCCTCGGCATCGCCATCGCCAACCGGACCGGCAGGGCGCAAATCAAGCCCCTCCTCATCCCGATCCGCGGGCACAGACGCGGCATCACCACTGCCGCTGCCACCGCCACCGCCACCACTCTCCCCGGTCTGGCCCTCCTCCCCAACCAGCCCCCTCCAAGCGCGGGTCTTACTCGTCTCCGCAATGGAAGGCACAGGCGCACCCAACCTCGCCTCCCGCTCCTGCCTCTCCAAATCCGAAAAGTGCCTGGCACCCTGCCCCTGGCCCGGCCCCGCGGCCACCAACTCGGGCGTCTTGACCGCCAGCAACTCCCGCTGCACGGCCGCCTCGTCATGCTTGGACCCCCACAGCGCCCACAACGACAAGCCCAGACTGCGCGCGGCCTTCTTGCCCTTGGCGGCCTTCCCCTCGTGCCACCCAGCGGCGTAGTTCAGCCGCCTGCGGCCGGCGAGGGCGCTCGGGGGCGGGACGTCACCCGCGGCAAAGACCTCGTAGCCCGCGGCGAGGTCGCGCAGGCGCTTCTTGTGCACGCCGGCATGGGCCTGCTTGAAGCGCGCGTCCCACCGCCGCTTGTGCTCCAGCCACTTGCGTACCGTGCCTACCTTGACGACGCCCACCAGCTCGCGCGCCATGCAGCAGCCTGGGAGCTCGGTGGCGGCGGGTAGTGCGTGGATCGCGCCGTGCCGGCTGATGCGCTGGCGGATCATGTGCTCGTGGAAGGGCGGTAGCGGGTCGCCGGCTTTGCCGACTGTGGCGTGGTGGTGGTGGGTGGGTTTACGGGGGTTGTTGGAGGGTTTGGGCTGCTTGTGGAGGTGTTGGTGTGTGGACGGGCCATGGAGGATGGGTGGGTGGGGTTTGTTTGCTTACCTGGGTCTGGTCTTCACTCCCGCTTGACGACGAGCTGGAGCTAGAACCGGAACTGGAGATGACGGATATCGTGTCGTCGTTGAGGATTTCGACCTCAATTTTCTGGGCCCGCGCCAAAGCCCAGGCCGAAAACTGCGCAACGCTCTGTTGGTCATGTTAGAAAGTATTGGATCATCAAATTGACGGAGACCAACGCACCCGGTACATGTATTTCGCCGGCCTGGTAAAGCTCAGGGTTGGTCCGACGTGGCACATGTCGTCCCAAACCTGCAGCTGGACATCCGTGGGCTTGTATCGGTCAACCAAAGCCCTAGCCTTTTCATCCATCAAGGCCTCGGGCGGCAGATACTGCGACGGGTTGGCGCATTTATGGGCGAGGTAGATTTGCTCATCGCGCAACAACTCGCCACCCCCGACCATGACCAGGAGTGGTGGCAGACCGCCTAGCGTGGGTTGCATGATGGGGCTGACCAAGGGGTGGGATAGCAAGTCGTTAGTGGTATACATCTGGGCCAAGTTAGTCTATAGTATTGTCTACAGCATGGGGGGCGGTCCTACCTGGATTTGCTCCTTGATCTCAACGTCCTCGCCGTCAATGAGAAACTTAAGCCGGTGCGTCGCCTCGGCAACTTCTTTGACAGTGGGTATTTCGCTTTGGTCTGTAGAGCTGACGTCCATGCCTTGCATCTTCTTCTTCTGCGCCAAGGCTTCTTTCTTGAGTACTTCAAGCTCCTCCTCGTCTGGGGGTGGCCACGCCGGCGACGGCTTGTGGTGAAATCCAGACGACGGGATATAGTCCAGTGGGCAGTCTCCAGCGACACTTGGAAATGAGTGCGTCAGATCAGCCCAGGGACTGATAAGTACAGCACCCGCAGGGAGCGGGATTCCCCTATCTCTGAGTATGACCATCATGGCCAGAACCATACCAGCTCCAGCTGAATCACCGGCTAGAATGATAGTGTTCGGCTTCTGTTGGGTAATGAGAAAGAGATATGTGGCTAGGCAGTCCTGGAGGCCGCACGGAAAGGGGAATTGTGGTGCGAGTCGGTATCTCGGCGCCAATGCCCGCGCTTTGAGCTTCCGCGCATGGCGCTGGATCTGATAGCGGTGTTCATCGACACTCCCAAAGTAGTAGCCGCCCCCGTGGACGTAAAGCATAACACGATTTCCTGAGTCGGGGCTCTTCTTGCGTTCATAGTAGTCGGCTTTCATTTCGACCCACTCGGCCTTGAGCGGGCTCTTTGGCTTGCGCCATTGCCACCACTCCTTGCCGCCAACCTGACGGATCCCGTCCGGCCCGAGTTGCTCAGCCAGGAGGTCTGCCGCGCGCAACAGGTCCGTCTCAGGGATCTCGACATGGTCGACCCTGACCCACTGAGGGTGTGGGACCCACTGGCTGGTGAAGGCTTGCAGTTCCTCGACGGTGTGGCGAGAGGCATGGGTAAGAAAGGAGCGGATCAGGTGCAGCCCTTGGTCATAGGAGAGATGCGCTGTGGGCTTGTGGGCCAGGGTCTTTCGGTTCAGGTACTATTCTGTGTCAGCCCAGCCTCCGAGCTTACCACCGTGATGACCCTTTACGAGTCCTGCGACTTACATGCGACAAGAATGTGGATACAACAGTTGGCGTGACCGCCAAGCTGACGGTTGCGGTGTTCATTGTGTGTCTTGAGGGCTCACTCGTTTCTCATCCCTCATACATCATGCTACGGTGTGTTCTTCCTCGTGGTGTTGTTGGGGGACGGGGGTATTTTACTGTGTCGTTCGTCTGAAGATGATGTCATCCGGCACATGCAACCCAACACGGCGTGGTAGGATCCAACACTGAGGCCACTCCAACCTCAGCCCTTTCGGCTGTTGCCAGGGGCCAATGGCAGCGATCGGCCGAGCGGCGCTGATCTGGCTTGAAACTGTTGGACAGGCGGTGTTGGTTAATAGCTGCGATTGATGTCGTACAAATATTAATGATTGCAATTGGTCATGACCAGGAGGCCATTGGCCGTATGTTTTTTGGTTGAAGCAAGATCACAGTCGAGAGGTGATAGGAATGGGAACGGGAAGGTGGGAATGCCCTGAAAATCCCCTGACAGGCGGATTGCTGCCCCTGAAGCTGAAGTTGGGATGGGCCTGGGCACAAAGACCTCCACACCCTGCCCGTCACTGCAGGCAGGTGCACTGGCCACCTCTTAATCGATAAGGCCAAACAGCCGACAAGCTCCCCGCGTCACCATGGAAGCTCCGCGTCACCTAAGTTTGCCTATCGCGCATGCCCTTTGACTCAGATCCTATCTTTTATCTTCGCCGCTTGCCTTAGCCCTCAACTTTTACTTCTCGTACAGTAATTGGAACCTGAAGGTATTCAGCAGCGATTATATTAATCGCCCACCATGGCGACCCAATACGAAAGTAAGCCACCGTCGCAACTCCGCTGATGCTCCATGGGACCCCTTCGTATCTGGACAGCTGAAACTAACACCCACCACAAGTCGAGCACAACATCAAAGCCGCCCCGGCGACCTCCCACCGCCGCCGACAAGTAGACATGTCCACCTTCACAGCGCACCTACACAACCTCCTCCCCGACTCCACCCCCTCTACCACCACCCAAAGCAGCAGCCACGAGCAGCAGCACAACAACCCGCACGCGGTGCCCAACCCCGCTGACACCTCCGCCCTCTTCCGACTCCTCCAAGACCAGATGGGCACGCTCGCCACCACGGCGCCCAACGAAACCAACCGGGCCTTCCTCGAGTCGCTCGTCGAGACCCTCGAGCTCGACGTGGCGCACCCGCCGCAGCAGATCGAAGGCGTGACGCAGGAGGTGCTGGACGGGCTGGACCGCGTGCCGCGCAAGACCCTCAAGGACGACGACACCTGCCCCATTTGTGCCGAGCGCTACCTCGATGACCCGTATTGTCTGGTCGTGGAGCTGCCGTGCCACGGGAGTCATCGGTTTGATCTGGAGTGTGTGGGGCCGTGGCTGAGGGGGAAGGGCACGTGTCCGATGTGTCGGAAGGAGGTGGGGAAGCGGAAGGCGGTGGTGGTGGAGCCGGCGGAGGAGGAGGAGGAGGAGGAGGATGATATGGATGGGTTGTATGCTTGAGCTGGGTTGGGGGGTTGGCTATGGGAATGGGTAGGGGGGTGGCGTTGGGTGGGTTGATGGAGTGGGTTTGGCCGGCCTTGATCTTGATGTGAGTGCGCATTGCAACATGAGCGATGGGTTTAAGCGGTAACGTGAAACGAGATATGAACAGGTCGTTGAATATTACGATGCTTCCGTTCTACTGGATAATGCATGCCTTCCTCCTAGAGCATTGTATAGCTCCCGGTATCACCAGGAGGAACCAGTCTAAAATCTTCCCCTACCACTCCCAGCACGCTCTCCTCATGAGCGCTCACATAGGCGCAACCTTGCCATGCTTCTTCCCCTTGCTCCCTCCACTCTTCGTCTTCTTATCCGACTTGTCCGCCACCTCCTCCGACGTTTGCGATTTTGAAAACTCCTGGTTCGCCCCGCTTGCCTCTAGCGGGTTCCCGTTACTCGTTTTTGCGGCGCTCTCCTTCGCCTCTTCGGGGGATGTCTTGTTGCGGTTGAAGGCCGCGTCTGTCTTTTCGGCCACCTGGTTGTCCGTGCCACTCTTGGTGCCCTCCGAACGCTGCGGGTTGAGGGTATGCCGGTCCTGGTTATTGTTGTCTGAGAGCAGGTTTGCGGTGGGATGGTATTGGCGGGTGAGGGATAGAGGGGCAATTGGGAGAGTGGATGTTGCGAAGCGGAGGTTGCGTCCCCGGGCGAGGAGGGATTGGGTGCTTGTTCGGAGAGTCATTGCGTTGAGGATTGGACGTTTAATTGTCGAGATTGGTTGTGAAATCTGTGGGTTTATCAAGACTACCTAGTTGTAGTCAATGGTATTGATATCGGATAAGATCGGTTTGGCGATAATTGAAGTTGGAGAAACAACGGGTTTGGTCAATGTTGACCATCCGGGACAAGCCAAGTTGTGACGTCATGAACACTGTCCAGCAGCTCCCCGCAGTGGGGCAACGGTATTCAATCAAGTAAACACCACAGAGTTGCATCCCACCTCATATAGCACAACTACGGAGGCTACACCAGGTGACCGCGCTCAACTGGTCATCTATCGTCAGGTAATCTCTACTACGGTAGGTACAGAGCAATAAGCTCATGGGTGCGCTGTGGTTGTAACTGACTGATACTCCTGGGGGTGTCGGGTGCGAAGTTGGGTATGGACATCAACATCTCAGCGGAACCTAGAAATAGATTATAGCACTTGATCCGAAACGGAAATTGCAATCTCGATCGGCTGGAAGCCCAAGAATTCAGGGTTCATTATTTGAACGGACGGGTTAGTACGGAGTACTAAATATGTAGAGAAGAGGCTCTCTTTGCCGGACTACGATACGCATACCATCTCTACTTTACCAAGAATCATTATCTGACACGAAGATATGTCGGCGCATGGCATCAGCAAGCTTCTACAAACGTGCAAGTCAGGTCTCATCAAGCTTTCCAACGGTCGTCGTCCGCAAAGCATTGCCAACGGCGGTGCGCGTAGGCAACATTGCAGGACGTTTCCTGAATGGGAAAGCCACCATGTCTACGCCGCAAACGCGCTCAATATAACTGCATGTATATAGCCTTTATTGCAACATGCATCGCGTGCCAAGCGGAAGTGTATTATTTCGACATATCACCATCAACAGGACGATAAAAATATGACCAGAAAAACCGAGTCGTCTGTCAAGAGTATGCCGCCGGCCGCGTTCCAAGCCGGTGAGAAGTGACAGCCGACAGGGGAAAAGGGGCGCTGTGGTATCCGGGCACACCGGAGGAATTGCAACCTCCTCCTGGCAACGGCGGGTATTCCGGGCGGCGGTCGACAAGTCAGTACGGTGGAATTTACTGGCTCAACTCGGTCATGGCTCGTGTGAGCGACGGCGCACGACAGGCATCTCCTTTATTGCGCGGCGACGTGTCAAAAGGGAGCCCCTGAGATGCAGCAGAAACCTTCTGGAAGCATTCCATTCTCGCAGCCTGCGGGAGCCCAGGGGAGCAAGCCAATTGGTTTCAGGTTGGGTTGCAGAAACATGCAACCAGGTTTGGGTGGTAGCGGACATCTCCGAGCGACAGCAGGTTGTCGGCACAGCGGGGTGACTTCCCAATACGGTGCTTGCCGAACAAAACTCCGGGGATGCACCTCGCATTGCGCGGCCGAATTCCGAAAAACTGGGATTTCAGATGAACAGTATTGAGGGATACTTTCCGATGTGCATTGGCGATCAACAAAACCAGGGTTACTGTGTTCGATTGTTACACTTGGGTAAGCTAGGTACGAATAAGTCGTTCAGTCTCCGACTTCTGCGACTGTTTCTAGAACTGGTCGATTCATACAGCGGAAGCAAGACGAAATGTGACACGACGTGGCACCCTCTGGTCGAAAAAAGCCGAATCTGAATGACGAGAAAAGAGAATCAAGACAAGAGAAAAAAAATAATAAATATTGAGAGAAAGAAGAGGTAAAGAAAACCGAGCAATTAAATCAGATGAAGAAAACCGAGCAAAGTAAAAAACCAACTTTGGGATTCCGAATGGCTTTTTTTTCATTTCAAGGTTCCGATGGCACCAACACCTGGAGTTTGGCTTTTTTTTGGCCAGAGAGTGCGTGGCTGCAGGCACAACCGCGCGCTGCAACTTACACGTGGGTGGGACATGGGTCTTGTTTCCATCGCTTCAGCTGAGACGCCTCTTCATTTCCCAGCAGCCAAATGCTGCACACCTCAAAAACTCAAAAGCAGCCGACCGCCAGAAATTCCCGAAATGCTTGCGCTCCGCACGATTGTCGGATAGTTACCGACAGCTGTATCCACACAAACGGAATTGGACAGCTGGGATTTTGAAAGCGAAGAAGTTCCATCCATCTCCATCACGATGGGGACTTTCTCCCACATGTTAGCTTTTCCTTCGGCTCCATGCAGAACACAGCGCATGATCCCGCGTGCCCACTACCTTTGAAGTGGGTGGAACCCTTCCCCAGGTGGGCTCTCATCCCAATTTGGTTTGGGGGCTACGGTCAGCAGATGGACAAACCATGGTCCAACCTCCGATCGCCGCCAGACAGCTTTGATTGCAGGTCCCTGCGCCGTAGGCTTGGTCGATTCCCAGAGCGCCGGGACGCCAACCAACAGAGGGCTTGGTTGGTCTGGTCGGGGGCACGGGAAGAAGGCTGATAATCGTGGCCTTATCCGTCCGGCCGCTGCCCGCTTGCGATAAACCGTGCGCGTTCGGGTGTCTGCGTGTCGAGTTTATTGCAGATTAGTGATTCCCTGGTACAGACCGTCCCGGTAGCGTTCCCGCTAGCCTTCCTGGGTTTAATTGCCACGCCCAGCCTCCGCTCCCACTCGCCAGCCGCAGCCACGAGGTCGCCACGCGTGCAAGGAAGGGAGGAGCCATCGGAATCGTGTGTCAGGTCACGGTTCCAAGTTCCCCTTACTGCAACGATCCCACAGCAGGCCACTGCCGACATAAGCATTCGCTCACCATCCACCAATCGAACCCCCATCCGGCGCTGGGCCCGACAGCTCATCAATCAGCCTGGCATTCGACAGCGCCGCACGCGGTGTTGCCGTGCTGCCATGTGGCATTGATTGCATCCTGCGACTCGGATAGATGCAACAGAAAGGGTCAGATTAATGGGAGGAACAAGTGGGCTGGAAAAGAAAACGGCGCCATGGCGGATGCGTTGCAGAAGCCATGCGCCATTCAGGGCGCGATCTGCGCTTGCGTGAATCGATGAGGCGCCCAATTGGCGATTCCATGAGCCAGTCCCTCCTCCACACAACCTTCCACGAAAATTCTTTGTCGTGCTGGAAAGGGGAGAAGAAAGGACGGGAGAACGAGTGATATCATCTCAGAAAGTTAACCATTATGAAAAAACTCATGCAGTATTGTTCCCTAGTCCTATGGCACGGCAGATCTGAGTGATACAAGACTTTATTCGTAAGTTATCATGATATCCGTATTGCTGGGGCTTGCATCCCTGTAGGTCCCAAGCCGCCAAACTCCGTCCAGGCACGTTTCTCAGAGCCGGTGACCCCCAGGGACCTCCACCACCTCACAGACCAGCTCCATTCCTATAGCTTTCTCTCATAAACCGACTTGATTCTAGTCCAACCCCCTGACAGGGCTACTTGAATGTCAAACCTTTTCAGCGCCAACACCGTTCGGGAATTAGTTTTAGGAAGCTGCCAGTGACTTGACGTTACTTGCTTGGCCTCTCGCCTTCGCTTCCTCGCTTTTGCCATCTAGATCGGTATCTAGCTTTCGGTACCCCTCAATCACCGACCGCCCTACCGTCGCCCCCGTTTGCTCCCGTACGCCTCCCGGCTGGCTCATCCGTCCGGCCAACATTCGAGCATCTTCCGACCCGGCCCCCAACGGCCGCCGTGCTACCCCCGAGTACCTAGGCCGCCTCCCGCATCTTGCCCGGCTCGTCGCCCTCGATCAGTGTCCCGAAAGCAGAGGCGTGCCTCGCTGCTTTGGCTGCCTATCCCGTCTCCTCGCGAGCCCCGAATGTCGATCAGCTTCGGTTTCGTCCCATTCACGAACCGCCTGAGCTCGCGTCGATCGCCCCAAAGTGGTTATATGGACCCTTGACTGATACTCTGCTACATCAAAAATAGAAGGGAGGAAAAAGGCAAACCAGCCTTTAGTTTTGACAGCCGGGGGAAAAATAAAAGCAATTGAGGATGGGAAACAGCCAAGGAAAGCCTGTTGAGTTTGACGGCGAAGGTACGCCCCCATGGCCGGTTCTGCTGCCCGTCATTTTGCCAGCGACGGGTTCACTAACATGGCCTTTGGCTTCTATACAGTGAATCTCAACCACTTCC